GCTACCTTGAAAGGTACAACTGTCTTTTCGAAAATCGACTTGGTTAAAGCGTATAACCGAATTCCTATGGCCACAGACGACATACCGAAAACCGCCATCATTACTCCTTTGGAGTCTATGAATTTTTGCGAATGTCCCTCGGTCTAAGAAACGCTGCCCAAACATTCCAAAGGTTCATAGACGACGTTTTTCGAGGTCTCAACTTCGTAGATGCGCATGTTGACGACTGCCTAATCGCAAGTCCGGACAGAGAATCACATCTCAAGCATCTGGATCTTGTTTTCGAACGACTACAAAAACATGGCATTGCTGTAAACGTTCAGAAATGCCAAATCGGAACCGACTCATTAAACGTCCTACGACACACTATAGATGCTCAAGGCATTCAACCCCTTAGGACCAAAGTAGCGGCAATTCTGGATTACACAGAACCGACCACGATCAAGCAACTACGAACGTTTAACGGCCTTGTAAGTTTCTATAGACGATTCATACCTAAATTGGCTTTACTCATGAAACCGCTAACCGACCAACTCCGTGGAAATGCGAAATCCATCGTTTTGGACAACACCGCACGCAAAGCATTCTCCACAATTAAGAAACTTATTGCGAGAGCAACAATGCTTGCACATCAGGACACTCAAGCACCCACTAGCATCGCAGCAGACGCATCCGACTCAGCAATCGGAGGAGTCTTACAACAATGGGTTAACAACTCCTAGCAACCATTAGCATTTTTCTCTAGGCGGTTGCTAGACACCGAATCGAAGTACAGCACATTCGGCAGGGAATTCCTAGCTATGTTTTGTGGTGTACGACATTTTCAACACTACATCGAAGGTCGTGAATTCACTCTTTTCACGGACCATAAACCGCTCACATACTCTCTAAGCTCTCCTTCAGACAAGTACTCTCCCCGTGAGTCTCGACAACTGGACTACATTTCGCAGTTTACTTCAGACATTCAACATATCTCTGGAGCAAACAATGTAGTTGCAGACGCTTTAACTCGCATACCTTCCTTGAAGAGTTTCCAAGGAATCGACCTTCTTAAACTCGGCCAGCTTCGAGAAGAAGACACTGATCTTCAGCACGAGTTATCGTTTACAACACTCAAGCCACACATCAAACAAATGGGAACAGGCAAGGAAACCTTACTTTGTGACACATCTACAGGTAGGGATCGCCCAATCGTGCCGAAAAATTATGGACGCAACGTCTTCAATGCGTTGCACAAACTTCCTCATCCAGGTGTTCATGCAACCATCAAGCTTATAGCAGAACGGTTTTGCTAGCCTGGCACGAATAAAGACACAAGGGAATAAGCACGCTCCTGTGCAAGCTGCCAAAAAGCTGAGGTGATTAGACACAACAAACGTACCTTAGGCTCTTTCAAAACTCCCGACGCTCTTTTCGACCATGTTCATCTGGATTCGGTAGGACCTCTACCAGATTCAAATGGATACTCTTACCTCTTAACCTGCGTAGACCGTTTCACTCGATGGCCAGAAGCAGTACCTATCAAGGACATCACTGCCGAAACAGCGGTTTGCGCTATCGTCCAACGATGGGTAGCAAACTTTGGCTGCCCTTCAACTATCACTGCAGACCGCGAACGTCAGTTCGAATCTGAACTTTTCCGTTGTCTGACCACACTTTTAGGAATCACTCGCTTCCGAACGACGGCCTATCACCCACAAGCAAATGGGTTTACAGAACGTCTTCACCGAATACTAAGAGCTTCGCTATCAGCTACAAACGTTTCACAGTGGACCGACACTCTTCCACTAATCTTACAAGGTATTCGCAATGCAGCGAAAACTGACATTGGATACACTGCGGCTCAACTCGTTTATAAAACGACACTTCGACTTCCAGGAGGATTCGTGGATCCCTCAATGAAAATGGATCTACCTCCTACACGAACAGGCTTACAAACGCAATGCGTTCAGTTAAACCTATTTCCACCCGACCGCATTCAACTGATGTTTTCGTTCAACCTGACTTAAAATATAGTACACACGTCTTCGTTCTACGAGACTCACATCGACGACCTCTCGAATCAGCATACGAAGGACCCTTCAAAGTTGTTCAAAGCGAACCCAAGTACTATATAGTCTATAAGAACGAAAGCAACGATAACATCAGCATCGACAGCCTCAAAGCAGGAAATCCTGTTCACGTCGACTTTCCTTCGGTACAATGGAACGACACGACTCCACTCATAATTCCTCAATCGACAACCAACACACGCGATGATACTCCGAATGTATTTGGAAATAAACTTAAAATGACGCGTTCCGGAAGAAGAGTGAGGTTTCCACAACATTTAAACGACTATCGCACGTAAGACACCATTCAACATTTTGTTTCATCTCGATTTTCCATGACATTACATATAATATAAAAAAAGTAAGTTGTTATATGCTTATATTTTTATATATTTGTTATTTTGCTAATATGTATATTAAAAATTAAAAAAAACATTTTGTAAAAATCGCTTTTACGCTATCACATGTACATGAGTTTATTTCGCTTATTTTGTGTCTTAAAGCGAGTTTATTTGGACATGCACCTACATATTCTTTTTATATTTTCCAGGACGGCTGGAAAAGACGAAAAAACGATGAGGTTTAGGAGGAATCAAAATTTGTATTGTAAATTATGTTTTTTACTATACTGTACTTCATGGTCCCTTACAGTAAGGAAGGATGACCAGACGCTGCTAAGCATAGCAAGATATCAGAAGAGTGTTTACTAACGACAAACTCATTGGGTTTAAACTTCTGGCTGGCCACGTCTTAGGGTCACCACTACCCTAATAAAGGTGAGTGATCTGTAGCGGTAAATAAATCCCCGAAAGATATAGCTCTGTAAGTTTTCAACATTGGATGCTTACCACATTAGTTTTAATGGAATCACCTAGCTGAAGGCGCTCGGTCATGCATCCGCAGCAAATCATGAGTGGGAACGCCGTGCTCAACAACCCCTGCAGTCGATAGCCAGATTAGATCAGACGATCCTCGATATATTGATAGCCTATCAAATATATATTCCAAACTCCTCGCTTCTGTCTTTTGATTTCACTTGGTGGGTACGATTCATATTAGGTGTTACTGGTTAAAGCGCTGTCAAATTCCGAATACCTGTGGCATCTTCAATCTACCTGTACTAGTCATAGAATTAAGAACTTTCAAGTATCTTTTTATAAGTGTCTTAAGGTGGACAGCCGTTTTTGACGAAACCAGACCAACAACCGTATTCTAAAATATAGAGGACTACTAGAAATTAAGGGACAGTTTGTTGAAATAGCTTAAGGCTCAGTGAAAGATTTCATCAAACCTACATGATGCGTTAAACTCGTTTCATCCTGAAGATGAGACGGGTATTTCTAGTTTGAGAACACTGTATCCAGTAGAACCTTCTATAATAGAATCGTACCCACCCAGTGAAATCAAAAGTCAGAAACGAGGAGGTTCAATGATATATCTGATAAGCTATCAATATATCTAGAAGCGACTGATCTAAACTGGCTAATAGTTGTAAGAGAGGTCGTGCGCGGCGTGATCTGGTGCGGATGAATGATCGAGTGCCTTCAGCTAGGTGATTTCTCTAAACTGATGTGGTCAGCATCAAAGGTCGAAGACTTACAGAGCTATTTATTTTGGGGATTTAATTACTGCTACAATACCCACGAGTTTTTCAGGGACAGCTCTTCATATTGTTAGATACCAATAAGACAAGGACATTAAGGAGACAGCCACTAATTGACATGTTTCATCTGAGAAATTAGACTGCATGAATTTTTATCGAAACCATCGTTAGGTTTTATCAAACGCTGCCTGTAAATGGACAGTTTCTTGGTCGTACTAACGTATGTGACCTAGAATCTAAATCCGTTTTACTCTTGAAGCTATCACAACTGTTTTCCCCACCCATTATGTTCTTGCAAGGCCAAAGGCTTTTCACAAGTCCAAACAAAATGGAGACGTTTATGAATTCTCCGATGCATTGAGTATCGCGTTAAGCTAACTTTGATCCTTATTCGTCCTTCCATTCATTCCGACAGAGATGGGGAAAAACGTTTCGTCGCATTCAAAATCAGCTGAGAACAACCATTGTTATATTTAATAATCACCTACACAACTGATGAACGAATTGTACCTTACATCATCCATCAGAAAACCATTCAGTCTTTAATAAATATTTTTCAGGAGGTGCACCGAAGTGCCCGCGATATGTTTTCGGAAAACTGGTTGCATTCGTTGTCAACTTGTTTCTCATATTGGTAGAGATATTTTGAAACCCCCAACATTGTTGGCCCCCTTTCGATTGAGTTGAAAAGCCGTAAACAGATCCAGAGACGCATAAGGAGCAGGGTGACAAACCATACGAGAATTAACCTTATCATCTGGGACTAAAGTAATTAATTCGTGGAAGGACAGGGAGATTTGTAGTATCACAAGAAGGATGGGGTTTAAAAAAAGAAAACGATATAAACTATTCCATTGCCTACACATCATCAAGACATTTTTGGATATGAATTAAGATATCTGCCAGGAAAATAATCCATTTCCTTCGCTTTGCTTACTCGTTGAGGATTATACACAATTAAGTGGCTAATCTCATGCAATTGAGACTCTAATTTTCAGTAAATCGGCACGCCATATCTTACTCCTAAGGGTGCAGCAAAGTTAAAACCTGGTACCAAAAGCAATATTAAAAGGGAAGCGAACAACAAAGTATTGCTCCAAAAGAGGGCGGCGCAGCATCTCATATGTGAATTGAATGAATATGGAATGGCATAGTATACTCACTATGTCGACGACAATTTTTTATCGCGAAGGTTTAAATAGTCAGAACATTCAAAAAATTTCAACAATTCAACTACAGACGAAAATATTCAAAGTTATAGAAACATTTGGAGAGATATTCGAGTCACAATTGCTGTCGTTTGAATGCATCGGTTTCTAATGTAGTTTATAATGTGGCTCTTTAGAAATGAAAAGTTCTAAAGGTGAAATGGTTGATACTAGAGATTACCTTATTAAAAAAGGTATTCCTCAGCTTTTTGAGGTATGTCACTTAACATTTATAGGAAAATTTTACAGTTTTGAAATATCGAAATTTTGATTTTTGGAAGAAAACCGAGTTTTCATATCCCGATTAACATATTTGTTTATGGGTTTCTCGTTTTCTATTTTTTATGATGTAATTCAATAACTTATATGGTTTTCGATATATAAATCTATCACAGACATGCATTAACAGTCCGAAAGTATTTAATACAATCTCTATTCTTATTGTCATTCTAGAAAAATTATTTATTTATCATTCATCTGATACTGCATTATTTTAGATTTAGATTAAAAGAACTTATCTGCCAAAATCAAACTCTTGCGTCTTCCACTCTTGCCTAAATGTGGATAAGTTTCTCTGCAACTTCAATTTGTTGCAACATTTCCGTTTTGTCATGAGTTACATCGTACCTCAGAGAGCATACAAAATAGTGTGTAAAAATCTGATGAGAATGTCGATAAGTAAAACAGGCCAGTGACTTGGTATTCACACTAGATTCAAATGTACCTGATGACCATAGTAATTGATGACAGTCACTGCTGACACAAGTATGAAGCCGAAACAGTTCTGTGAGACATTGATAGCAATAAGATTTTGGGTCTATCACAATGTATTTTGAACATAATGATGCTTATGTACCGTAGGCAGTCTCAAATCTTCGTTTTTTTGCTTTTACTCTGTGTGTTTGTATATATGAGCTTACATAGGGTTAATATTTTGGAAATTAATTCTCGTTCTTGATTAGTAGAAATCATTATCAAGATATGTTTCTACTGAGCCAAAGAAGTGACTCAATGAATAGTTTTCAAGATCTACCGAACAAAAGGCGAAAAACTCCTAACATACCGATTTACAATCCACATAGATTTCTTTCTGTGTTTTCGTTTTCATTATTAGAAATTTTATGAAACCCATAAGGTCATAGCTTCTACCGTTTTATAACATTTTTCATACAGAAAAGCCTTTTAGAATACTGATAACGGTAGTAAATCCAAGTGTGAATGAAATAAATACTAGTCGGGATTCGGCTGATGCTGAAAAAGTTGAGCAGCATGGATCGCTGAACATTACACCTCAAGAATACCATTTCTTAATAGCCTTATATTCTGGCTATAGTAGACTGGATCTCTAAAGAAAGGAAGTTGTATCCTATGTTAGTACATGTTGCTACTCATGCTTTGCAGCATTGTAGGTTGAGCCATGAACTTAGTATCAAATGAGGAAGTCAATCTCAAGTTATATTTTCGGTGTGAAGTTCAGTGACACAGCCTACTTGATCAAACTGAAAGTGCTAAAGTAGACTGGTTCTTTTCTTAAAGACTGGTTAATGTGATCACTGAGATGTGTCGCAGATGCTAAAATTATGTTTTTTTAAATTTTAGTGTTTATTGACTGGACTAATGTATCATCGTCCGAATGATCATTTAGACTATATGCAACAGTGTATTGAAAAAATAAGAGCGAATGGAATGAACAGTGTACGATGGGACCTATTTCTTCAATCGAAACCAGTTGAACAATTATCTTTACATACGAAAGCAAGTAAGAATTTCGCTACACATTAATCTTTTACAATAATTTAGAGGATTATTTTTATAATGAACATGTCAAAGTTCTTTTAGGGATTCAGGAACCAAGATATCAACTGGATCGGAAATGTGATACTTGTCTAGTGACGCTTTTTGACATTAACTGCGTTCTATCAAAGATCACGAATAAGAAATACTTAGTTTCACTCTGGCCGCGAAAAGTCATTCTGCCTACTTCGATACCTAAAGGTCCCAGGATGGATGTTACATGTGGTCGTGTATGTGTAATTCTGGTGATTCACTAGTTGGGTAAAGCGAGTAACTCAGTTCTTTTTGGTTTATAATTAATCTCCAACTGACGTCAATTCATGATAAATATTACTTACAAATGGAAAAAACTTATATGACGAGAAGAAAAGTCAAAATTCAATTGATTTACTAATTATGAGTTTTGTTCAACATCACTTCCGTTCTGATTCAATATGATGATTATTCAGTGTAGAATTCGTTTTCTTTTCTCGTATGACATTTTGTTCTGTATAATATACGATATTCTTGTATTCAAAGGTCATGAACTATGCTCAGCATATGTGATTTCATCCTAATTATTAATCGAAATGGGTGTACAATCAATATATTGATGAATGTATTTTCGACTAAGGTTGTCGTCGTTGTCGTGTTTTGGGGGTTGATAAATCTTCACTTATACAAGTCTTTGTGTTCTTACTTTTGCGTTGTGAGATTCGCGGAGGTCCCTCGTTTCAAGTATTAGTGATAAGCGTTGCTGACAAAACAATCAGTGACGACCAGGCAAAAACTGCGCAAACCACTAATCTAAGTTGAAACTTAATGAACTGACATTAACAATTTTGAAATCTAGTGTTCCTGAACTGGTAGTCTGAGCCATGTTGGTAGATGCAGACTATTGATGACATGGCTCAGAATCGATCACAATGGCGTAGGTGTATACACTCTATGTCTTCCCTTAAACTAAGAGATTGAAATCGCTTCATATCTTTCTTTCTACGAACTAATTCTTTCGTCCTGTATTATATCCTTATTGTAATTTTTCTTTTCTATATTACCACTTTTGAATTAACTACTTTTATGGATCCGGTGTCCATCTTGTGTTAATGAGGTATGGCAACTTGGACCGATGCATATATGTGCCTGGTCCTACTTTGTAGCTGACTGACTGAGCTGGAGAAATTTTAAGTCCTGGGACTCATTTTTTGTATCTTCCTGTTTAGCTGAATTATTGATGGTTGTCAAACAGAAGTCCTGCTTCTTTCATTTCAACTGAGACCATAAAACTGTTTGACTCTACATGCCATAATCAACAGTGATCCAGTACAATATGACGAGATTTTCACGGCAGATGACTAGCTTACTTAAAGCAGTGTCTCGAAAACACAATAAAATGACTTTGTGGAGCGAAAAAGCTAGTTTTTTTTAACAAACCGTGGACGGAATATTTGGTAACACTAACATATTTGTGACATTCAGTCATTTTAATTCAGTAAATTATATTACTATTCACCAATTAATATAAGCACTTAGTTTCAGAAATTTATACTAACATGTCTAGAGACTTAAGTGTTTTAATTGTAGATGTCAAATTCAATCTTATTCAATTTCATGTCAGAATGTTAGTAACATTAGTATTTGTTTGATAAGTATTAGCATAAAATCTAGAATATGAACTAATATTTTGCAACTAAATTTGTTTAACTATTTCATAGTATGCGATGAGAAAGTGAGTATGTCTGTAGAACATGTAATTTATTGGTGTTCCTACTCGAATTTAGCCGCAATCAAACGACCTGAGCATTAAACCCATCCAGTTTCTATGATCCCAGTAAATAAGTAGAATTATATCATGTGAAAATATCAGTTTAGTTCTTTTTGATAAAAGCAAAAGTGTATTGTTCATTTTTTAATTCTTTATTTCTAATTTTAGAAGTTGATAAAGACAGTTCACAAAATGGTGCAACTTCTGAAATCGATTCACCTAGATTATGTATTAAAGAGGACTCAGTGGTTATATGCATAGTAGCTGGGCCAGGCATAGACGGATCCACATTTTTAAAAGAATTGATCATGCATTATCCTAAATTTATTTATGTCAATTTACCGGATTTATTGAAAACGCGTGCAATAAATGAACAGAACCAACAACAATCTCGTTGGCATGAAGCTATACAAAAGCTTAATAATCGGGAATTATTACCAAATGTAATATTTTTTTCTCATTTTATATTGACGCTTATTCTGTTTTTTGTTCTTCACAGGATATAGTTTTAGAAACGCTTTTATTAAAATTGAATCAACATAGTGACGTGGATGGCTTCGTAATCGATGGTTATCCGAAAACAGAAACACAATATTTAGATCTTAAAAAGCATGTAAGTTACTGCTGGTACACTTATAACATCTCATCTTTTTAAAATAAGTACAATCACAGATAGATAATTGAGCTTATTTTTTTAAAATTTAATAATAAGCCTAGAGTGACCAGCTCTTTTATCCATCAGATGGTTGAAGGTAATCGTCTGTAAAAGTTGATTGACATAAGTTTCAGATTAATTGATATTCGTTAGCAAGACATTTCTACAGCCCTGAGGAACCTGATATTTTATTTTGAGTTACAACCTAATTGATTATAGTCGAAACAACGAATAGATAAACACAACTTTGAATCAGTCAATGTAAATGTATTTAATATAAATTTGATGCGTGAGGAGTAGGTGGGGACGAGTGTCATTGATGGTTTCGAAGTAATCGAACTACTTTCAAGTTCCATCATTTACTGATTTCTTCACTTCTATCTCAAATTCTATAAGATGACTAATCAACTGACTGATTTCTGTAATACAACTGGATTTTATATAAATTGAAATGTAGAATTTGCCAATTAGTTAGTTTCTACTTCTTCATTGGTCACATGATATTCAACGTATTTAATAATTCCAACGAATTAGGAGACAGTAATCCCTATTTAAATTTTGATCTACAACTCTATTGAAGCAATCTTGAAAATTTTTACAAACAACTAAGTATCTAGAAAATCAGTCCATACAATTTGTTTAATAAGTATAGTTAAATTGATAAGTTTGATAAACAGCTAGTTCGAGTAATCTGTACTTTAGTTTTAGTGTTACCAAAGAAACAACAGAAGATATACACAAATCAATTAGCCATGTAATTACTAGAAAATATTTTTCGTATGAATTTCTGAAGTCCCAGAGATAAGCTTTGGCTTGAGAAATCAACAAAGTTGGAAGTGTTGCAGTGATTTAATAAAAAATATTTCTTGAAGATCAAACCATATCACAAAATCATTAAAGATGGAAGTGTTGATTATCGCATTTTTTGTAGTTATTGACTTAATGTTGGTTATGATACCTGATGGGTCTGAATTCTGCCCTGTGTGTTGGATAGTGAATGAGTATTGCTGAAGGGTCTTTAACTAGAATAAGACATCTATCCGATAATTGGTTGGTTCGCGTTAGTATCTTGAATGACATCCATCAATGTGTAAACCGGCAGGTTAAACACTAAACTGTTAGACGTATCACTAATGGTGTCGGTACTAATCAAACTAAGGCATTTTCGCTTCACTATTTAATTATGATTTTACTCGAGGAAACTCGTATGTATTATTTTTTTATAGTTCATATTATTGTTCGGACTTTTTTCATTTTCTTTTTATATATATTATCAATCAGGTTGGCATGGATAGATTGAAGTGTGTAATTCTACTTGATATCAGTGAAGATTATTCTAGACAACGTTTAAGTGAACGAATATCACATAGAGATGAAGTTGGTAATAATAATGAATCAGATTCCATTGACTGTTGTATCAGTATTTTCAAAAATCAAACGTTACAAGTATGCAAAATTATTGATGATGACGAGAAACTCAGAGTTGTAAGTTCTATGGAAAACCATTATTTATCCAACTATTATTATGGCATTTATATAAATAATGTGAAACCCTTTTTTGCGTGTTATGAGTACGATAAGTTTTATAGAAAAAAGAATTTTAATTTGACTTTCATTAAATTCCTTTCAGACAGTTTTTAGTCCAGTAGGCAACCTTGTTTTTGATGTAAACAACTGACATCTACCTTTAAAAAAATCTTATTTCATAGCTATACAGAAGAACAGATAACGTCAATAAACTGTCCAGTCAACTTGTATAGATATCGGGAAAACATTCCTGTTGAAACTTTGTAGACTGACATAATCTTTTTCTTTCCTGTAGCCTGGTTTCCAAGGGAGTATTGAACACCGGGTTAAGCCGTAACTAAGTAAATGTTTCAAGGCGTAAACACACTTTAGAGAGTATGGTGTTAGGTCAATTTTGTAATCAGTTTGTAAGTTTGAATGATGACATTTGTCTTGAATATCGTCTATTATTAAACATTTCATTGATATATATATATTTCATACAGGCAATTTATCGTAGTTCTGTTTTCAAAACTAATCTACAACTAACGAAGGTGATTTAGGATTTACTGTGAACAATTTATTTTTATATATCTGTCAATATACGTAACCATCTATGTAAATTTTGAGATTATGATTTGTTGTGTTTAATTTGGTGAAATAGAAATTAACTCTAAATGTTATTGCTTGCACATAACCATTGCGTAACTTCTAGATTTAGAATACATCAGTAGGACCATCTACCTTGTTAACGAATTACTTTATTAATATCCATATTATATTCATTTGAAACCTGCAAATAAAACGACGTACGTGAAGGACGTCAATTAAATTTTCAGAATATGGCAAAGAATTTTACAATCTAGTCAGTAAGAAAGCGTTTTCATTTTTGGTTCACTAGTATTATCATGTCCTTTTTAATGATATATTGACTATTAACCTAATTCCAGTGTAGTTATTTCAGAAAAAATCATACTGTTTCCTGTTCATCATCATTTTCAAAGATATATAATGTTAACAGAATTATAACTAACATTTACACGTAATTCGAAATCGCTCCAAGAATATAAGTTTTTGGCAAAATTCCGTGAAGTTTTAACATACTCTGACAAGTACTTTCAAATAATTTTTTTTCAGTAGTTGAGATCATTAGTCAATTAAGCTAGACCAACATGGAAAACTTGGAAGCACTGGATAGCCGTTTTGTCCTATTGTGGGACTTCTCAGCAGTATGCATCCATGATCTCGCCTCGTGAAATTCCAACCCAGGAACTATCAGTCTCGTGCACGAACCCTTAACCTCTAAACCTGTTGGGATATTCAGAAAGATATCCCAAAAATTATCCTGTTAAGTCTAATGCTAATCCATTGGGGTTTGCCCTCGTGGGTTAGAAACCCATTCCCGTCGCCAATTGTTATAACTTGTGACAGCCTATTAGAGAGTAGTGACTTATCGATCGGATCAACGTCGCATAAAACTCATGCGAGCAGCCTAGAGTTCTGATTGGCCCTGCTTTCCGCCTAGCCTAGCCAGTTAATTCAAGAACACCAGTCTCAGCTTCTGCAATATAAATCATTATATTTCAAATATACTCTGTTTATATACCAATCAATCCGACCACAACGTACCAATAAAATATGAAACAACATTTGTACAAGAATTAGCCAGATGTGGCTGTGAATGTGGAAGGTAGTAATTAATATACTGAGTATAACTCAAGAATGATAAAACATATAATAATAGTTTATGGGTCAAAATGAAGCTTATAATAAGAGGAATATGAATATGCATAGTTTAGTTTCTTAATAATTATACAATAGAAATATACGTTTATTATTGGTCCGCAATTAGATGCCAAAAATTACCATTCATTATTCTTATCGGGACATAAAAAAATCACTGAGCCGGCATTCAGTGGTATTAATGTTCAACTTCAACTAATCCTTGAAATTGAGCAACGCATCCATCCATCTTACAACAGACCCAATTGAACTCCACTGTTAACTGTTTCTCACTAGAACTCCAGGAAGTGCTTATTGAAGCCAGTCACTAGTGAGCATATGTTGATTAATATCGGAAGGGCCTTTTGTGGATATAATAATAATTTCAATAGTTGAGATCATGTGCCTTTTTAAAATTTTCATCGTAATACAAAAATCACAGATATTTATAAAAGAAGAATGTTTCTTTTTTTTCAGTAATTTTTCGTCACATTCTGTAGTTATAAATCCAAATTAATATTTCAAAGACAATAGTCAAGTTCAAGACATTTAGATCAAAGAGGCTGGATATATTTTTTTTCTGAATACATCAATTTGGTCTTCTAGAGTTGATCCAGATGGCTTCGGCTATGTAAAGCAGTCGTAATCTAGCTCGTTGAGGTAGGTATTTTGGAACTTGATATAAAACAGAGAAAGCTTCCTCTATTTTGATATGATGTTCACTAGATAGGTAGATAGTGAACATCATATCAAAATAGAGGAAGCTTTCTCTGTTTTATATCAAGTTCCAAAATACCTACCTCAACGAGCTAGATTACGACTGCTTTACATAGCCGAAGCCATCTGGATCAACTCCAGAAGACCAAATTTATGTAACATTTAGATCAGTTAAAATTACAGTAAATGAATTTAAACTTCCCTGATGAATTAAAACAAATTGTAAATATTGAAATAACTCAAGCATATTGTTTATATGAATCAATTTACGAATCAGTTAATATGATAGGATGAATAGTTAAAATAAATGTAGCTAAAATTCTCTAAATTTAGTGGCTTACACATTGAGTTATGGAACATGAGAACATTCAGTTCTTCTATTCATAAGGATATTATAATTGGATTATATTTTTTTTTGTAACTAAAAGTGTAAGTGTTCAAATAATGAATGTGTAATGTTAACATGAATTAGTTTCTAGGTTTATTAATATAGTGAATAATAGTAATGATCATTAATATTATAATCACTTATTATGATAATTATTATATAGATTGATGGAGAGTTAAATAATGATGAGATTTTAGAGGATATTTTGGAATTGTTTGATCAAATGATTTCTAATAAATTAGTTGGTGAGTTCACTTAATTTCTATTGAATGATAATTTAATTATAAAATGTTCAGTACTATTATTAAAATGAATAGGTTGTTCTAAAGTAATTCAATATTGTTTCATGTTGTGATTACATCTTAATGCTTAAGTTTTTAAGTGATACTAAACATACTAAGTTAATTCTAACAAAATTATGATATAAGAATTTGTAAGTGTATGTACTTTCTATTGTTGATACTAACAACTCTCAGATAATCATTTTCTGTTAATAGGTATACTTTTTGAGCAGATTGCCTCGATTTTGCCGTTTAGTCAAAAGTTTACGCTGGAGTTACATATTGGCTTTCAATAGAATTAAGGATGCACATTTCATTCTTTTTGAGATTCATCAACTGGTTATACATACATGCATATTGAGACTCGAATCCTGTACGTTTAGATTTAAGTGCTAATAGGTCATCCATTGAACCGCTATGTCCAAATAGCCTTTGCAGCTTTTATGAATTTATAACTATGAATGAAGTCTTTGAGGTTAGAGACGAAATGTACTTTGCTCGAGTCTAAGTGTGAGCATCAGTCCTGAGCTCCTATAAGCGCATCCAGTTAGTAAGTTCTAAATAGGACGAAGTGATCGTCCTGTATCACAGTGCTATCTGTCATCCAACTTTTATAGAAATTTTAGTACAGTGTTTTGATGTCGTGTTTCTAATATTGAAACCAGACGCATTCGTGTATCTACATTCCATATTTTCCAAAGAGATCATATATATATATATAATTATTTGTTTAACCACTGCAAAAATGTCTTTCATAGGTGATTTTTATGATTTACTATATACAGAGTCAGAAGTACATCTTATCTCAAATGCTTCGCCTAATAATGTGCTTGCCCCAGTAAATCGTAGAATGAAGGGGTATGAAAGCCGACCAAGTATAAGTAGTATTCCAAGAATTGTGCCAGTATTCCCTGATAATGGTCGAATGCATGGCATTAATAATTGTCCAATAATTTTATTATTAGGTAAGTATACATAAAATAAATATTCTATCAATTGGCATGAAGAATGTTTTCATTACTAGTATATATAGTTTTGTACTATAATTTATTTGTGGTTATGATGTAAGGATTCTTTTAAAAAGGATTCACGACCAAATCAATCATAAACATATTATGGTGACTTTGAAGCTTTTCTGTAGGATAAATAGGATGAGATTCTTTTAACAAGTAATATTAAGATGATACCTGTATGCAATATGTCAGACATTTTGGTTTGATGTTAAATAGTCTGTTTAGTATAGGCGAGCTGATATTACTACAAATGTAGCATTCAATGAAATATGACTTTGTTCATTCTAATGCAAATTATTTTTGGCAATGTAACTCCTTAAGGAATAGTTTTATGATCATATGTTTTTAAAACTAACTCTTAGAATTATTCATAACATGCAATCATTGTGTTAAATGATAGGCACTTCTGTAATGCGCAGATATTTTTCGAAATCACTAGAAAATTAGTTTTGCACTAAATTCAATACGTTTACTTACTAATGAATATAGTGTAGTGTAGTATTGCTTAATCAAGTGTTTATAGCCTTTGTAATAATGCTAAAAAGAAAAGTAACATTATCAGTACTTTTTATCAATGAAATTTCAATGAAAAACATACACGTTGATATCAAGATTATTTGTCAAGATAATTCAATAACTTTTCAATGTTAACTTTTGTATACCAGTTTGTGTTTCAAAAATTTTTTAAACTGTAAGAGTGTCACAAAATATGATTCATTAGTTAGTAAGGGTTATTGTAGTCTCATTACCATTTCGCGAGTGTTGTAAAACGTGAAAGGTTTAGCAAAAAAGTATTCTATATAAAAGTCCGATTGTACATTTTCAATTCCTTTTGTTTCAGGTGGTCCAGGCTCTGGACGAACAGAACAAGCATTGAGTTTATGTAAAAAATTTCCTGGTTTAGCATATTTCAATGTTACGGACTTTTTGAGGAAAAATGTTTTGGATTTTATCAATGAAAATGATACTAAAGATTGGGATGTAATAGCACGTCGAGTACATTCTAGTGATCCACCGTCGAGTAAAGTATGTGTGTAATGTAGTCTAGATAATAATATTAATAATAACAAGAATACTCGGTTAATTAATTACCATATATTGGATTATAATAAAAATTTTTCAGTAAAACTGTAATGAAAATGCTGTTGTATGTAGATTTAACATGTGAATATTCAAAAAATATCTATAAAGTGTTTTTTAAGTAGTGACTAACTGCAGCACATGTTTATCCGTAAATATTTACGAAAAACTTTGCAACTACGATATATATTTCCATTTTATTAGAATCACGAATCCATGTAATTCAAAAAACCATAGAAAACCTGGAAACACTGGGAGACTATTTTGTCTTAATGTAAGGCTCCTCAGAAGGGCTCATTCGAGACCAGTATTTATTAGTTGTCTAATAAAGAGCACTCCTTACTTTAAACCAAAGTATTTCTTATCAATTCAGGGAATTTTGAAACCAAGTATATACAATGGCTTCAATGTTACTCGTTTCCAAAAACTTTCTCTCACCATAGCATTGTTTAAATTGTTCGTTAAGACATATTTAGCGCAAAACTACATCCTGTTATGGTTAGATATAATTGCCTAGGAATAATTCAATTTAGTCAGCCGAGTTTCATAAAATGACTTAATAATTTACCTTTATCAACCAAAATTTTAATTCAATTTTGCGATTCCGCTTATTCAGTAATCTTACAACAGACTGGAAAAAATTTTTCGAAGAAACTTATTATTAAATATATTTGACCAAACAACTACTGAGGAATATAAATGTGTCTGTCATCTGTAGCTAGATGGATTGACTGTAAATGAACTCCGGAATGTAACTGAAAAATTGATTTTTGTTTGTTTACTCTGCTTGCATATAAATGATTCTTATCATTCCAAAAAATGTTTATCATATTCTAAAAATCTTATTTGATTATTTTTTGAAATTTAGGATAGACTCATTCCAGAATACTGGGTAGGTTTTTGATGTGTTCCGTTTTTGTTAATTACATATTACAATTTTCTATTTTAACGGTTTTGTGTAAAATTAGGGTATTTCTGTCAAACATTGACATAAGGAGGTTGACGACCAACCACTCAAAAATGAGGAAACGTTTATCAACTATTATTGCTTCCAAATTTTGCATACTATTAGATTTTTAATCCATTTGATCGGTCTTTAGTAAAGTTGCAAATATCTAAAAAAATGTGAACATTATCTAACACGTGGAGAAGAGTTTCAAATTCAAAATGAATAGCTAGTGAGTAATTTCACTTTATCATTGTATGATGTACTCTATGTATGCTAATAGAATTAAGTAGTATGTAGCAGCAATCGGAAGTCGGATGCATGCCAGCAGAACATTGAATTAAAGAGAAGGAGAAGCAAACAGGGAAATTAGAATAACAACGTATTTGCGATGATCATGAAGTATGCAAGGGACAGATGAAAGAGGATGTGAGAATAATGTATCAAATATATGATTTATATATTTCATAAAGGTCGAACTCTTTTGTACTGAGCATTGAGTGGTATTTTTATTGCGATAGCTGGTTACCTCGAAATAAAGTATATATGGGCTGGCGTTCGAATCTACCACGTAATTGTTCATGTTCCTAAACACAACCACTTGTTTAATCATGTATAAATCACTTATATATACGTCCAAGTCTCCGAATGTTTTACGGACCTATCACTATGTTTGAAGTTTATGGGGTTGTAGGATCTCAGGAAAACACGAGAACAATCTGAAGATGAGAGCGTCTGCGTCATTCTAAATGCTGTTGTAAAACAATATGATTTTTTCCTCATATCTGTTCGTTTTTAACAGTGTGGTGCATCAACTTATACATTTTGCATCTTTTTAGAAAGACCTTGTTTGTCCTAACAGCCAGTGTATTTTACTGATTTCTTGATATCTCAGGTAGCGCACTTGTGAGTTATTTGCTTATCACATTTTTTTTTACATGAAAGGACGTGCAATCTGAAGTAATCCGTCTAGAGTCCAGTAATTTGGCCGAAAATAATAGAGCTGTTATCATTGAAGGATTCCCATGTCATGAAGGTCAACTAAATACATTTAATCAATGTGTAAGTAACTTCATTTTCCTTTTTAAGTTTCGACGAATTATTTATTGAATAAGTTATATTAATAAACTCAAATTATTAGTTGAATACTCTGAAACAGTTAATCTTTTCGATAAATTATAATAGTGGAATTGTAAAACGAAATTTATCGGGACTATGTGATGTATATTAGTGGGATATACATTCCAAACTGTTGAACCCCAAATTATTTTGTTAAGATATTTATCTAAATACAAAGTAGACAAATAGGGATATATAAACAACGAAGGTATCGATGAAAACACAGATGATACCATTTTGGATATTAAATTCAGAATCAATATTACCAGGGTAAGTAAAATGTAATGGAAAACTATTTCTAGGAACATAAAGAAGGTTAAAGTTTTCATTTGGTTAAATCTTTAATAAACCTTATTATTCCCCTAACGGTACTTTTATACAACATCACATAGGTTGATTTGATGTGATCTCTAAGATCATTTACAATTAAATGTTCAATAATGTAAGAAGACAGTTGTTTATTATGTATCCTTATTGAAGGATTGAAATTCGTTTATTATGGTATCGATTTAGGTGTATATTCAATCACTTTTATATGACTATCACAGTACAGACATCGGGATGTTATCTAATCCTCTGCATGTTGTTTGCATTTTTGGGGAAACATGGACCCTGACTTTTCACCAATGATGAGCTGAGCTACATGAGAAATCCTAGTGACCGCTAATATAAGTTTCGTTTAAATACTAGGTTGTTCGAGTTGAACTTGTACATGGCAACTGCACCTGATTCTTTATCACTTTTTTATGCAGATGAAAGTCAGAATTGACTCATTATTCTTTTCACAAAGAATTTAAAGGCCGATAAGTTACTATAGTTCTCTTCTCTGATCCAGGATTATAATACTGACGAACAATTTCTATCAGTTTAAATTTAATACCAATGAGGATCATTAAGAGATTTAGAGACATTAATATTTAATTGATCCTATAGATAAGCCTGACTAGAACTTAAATATATTTCCACACCAAAAGCCAACAATAATCACGGTAAGAACAAGGGTAAGAGAACATATAACTCATCCAGTACCTGTCAGCAGCTCAAATATCTGTGGAATTGTTTAAAATTAGAATTGATTGTTGAAATGGATATTAGCAATTATCAAATTTTCTGTTTTATTATTCTTCAATATCATAATACCTTTATGATATTTGAAGGACATCAGTTAGTGAAAAGTAAATCAAAAAAATTATTGTACATCCGTTATGTGCAAAAGTGAATAATCTGACATAAACGTTTTTATAACTTGTGGCCTGAGTGCCCTGTTAATGTATAACGTAACGATACCGCCAATTAGAGAGCAGTGAATTATCGATCGAACCAATGACGCTTAAAACCCGTAGGAGCAGTTTAGAGTCCTGATCGGTCCTTCTTCCTGCCTAGCCCATCCAGTTAAGTCCAGAACACCATTCTCAGCCTCTGTGATATGAATCATTTATTTCAAACATACTGGGTTTATATTACCAAGCAGACAGACCATATCGTACCAATAAAATAGGAAAGAACATTTGTACAATATTTGGCCAAATGTAGCTGTGAATGTGGGAGGTGGTGATTAATAGACAGGGCATAATTCAAGAATGTTAAATCTTAGAATAATAGTTCACAGGTCAAAATAAAGCTCATAATAAGAGGGACACGAATATGAATGGTTTAGTTATTTAACCATTATACGATAAAAATATACGCATAGTATTGGTCCATAAATGAATCCCAAAAGTTACCACTCATTATGCTTATCGATGCATAACAAACATAATCAATTTTTTAAATTTTTCCCTTTCTGAGCCAAGCAAACTGTATTATCTATTATAAATCTCCATATATAATTAACTTCTATTCTTATTGATCGAATTTTCTCTTAGAATTTTCGATTATGAGATTTACAATGATATTTATTAATTTCATGATTTCTTCTTCAAATGTATAAGATCTTTGATAAAGTCTAGTTTCCTGTCTTATTACTGGTACGCGATTATCATTTTTGAAGTGTAGCTGTGTGTACTATGCTCTTCGATTGATCTACTCACGTTAAGTCGCCTCTCATATCAACAGTAGGTTTACTAGCATCAAAATTAACGATCACAAAAACGTGCTAGTTTTTACTGGTTTTATGTGTCAACCTCAGACATTCACTGAAAACCAAGAAACACTAAACAAACACTTCATCTTAGTATTAGACTCTTCGTCAATGTGCGCCCAAGATTGTCATCAATATGGATTGAACCTAGGGATTTCGCTCCACGTAATAACGACTAATCTATTCACCACTTAACCAAAATTCAGTATAATGCATGCTTAGTCAGTCCAAAATATTGTTCCACCATATTTAATTGTCGTTGATGAGAAACCACCTTGCATCCCACACCTTTTGAACTCCACTGCTCACTACTTCTCACTAGAATTACAGAATGGACTCTCGAACTTATTCACACTTGAGGCGACATGGTAATTATTTACATAAAGGTTTGTGCTATTACCAATCTTCCTAATTAAGATATTAGTTGAAGTTTTTAAATAAAGATGACATGTCTTCAGACTAAAATGTATGCAAGTGTGAAGTTCACATATAAAACGAGTTAAATATTACTAATCAGCTAACAAACCTCATCTCAAGTACTTGTAAACAGGTTGAAGAGTTTAGGTAAACCACACATACACAATTATGTAGTTTTTTTCATGTAATACGATGAATCAATCAGCATCTTTGATCATAATTAGCAACCAAAACTTTTGTTATGAAGTTTATTAAAATTGTGATAGCATGATATGAATACATACAGATATGTTTGAGACAAAATAGATTGTTTCCAACTGATTGACAATTTATCAGGATAATCGATATAAAAGTCTCATTTATCTAAAATGACAAAAAGTTGGTATGTAACAAAATTATTTTCACTTACTAATAGTCTGACAGTCATTCTATTATTAGAAAGTATTCTTATTAATAGGGGATTTAAGAAGAATTTAGAACTTTACACCTTCGGCTCGTCTTAAGATTCTTTAACAGTGTGCATGTATGACCTCACTTAAAACCAAACTAAAAAACTTAGTCTCGTAATAGAATGGGTTGAAATGTTAACTTCAGACAATTAGTGGTCTATTGTTATACTCATCAATCGTAAGATATACATTGGGGAAATGTAAATTCAGTCAAATGAAGGTGTGATTAATTTTGGATCTGAGTCTCCAATTGTGGAACACAAAACATTCATCAGAAGGATCTACTTACATCTCAGTGTTCGTATTTATATTTGTTATGGATGCAGAATAATGTGCCAATCATTATCATGTTAAGCCTAGTGATGTCCTTGGACGTTAAATGGACATTTCCTATTGGCCATTATTTACTTCATCCGTTAAATATTGTACAAATGTTGTTTTCTATTTTTATGGTACAATGTAGTATGTTTGGTTAGTATATAAATAGAGTATGTCTGAAATGCAATGATTCATATCTCAGAGGTTGTAACTTGTGTTCTGGACTCAACTGACTGGGCTAGACAGGGAAGCGAGACCAATCGAGACTCTAGGCCGTCCGTACGTGTTTACGTGTCATTGAATCGATCGATAAGTACGCTGCTCTCTAATTTTTCCAGTCAAGGACACAACAATTAGCACAGGGTAAAAATCGATCCAACTTGAAGTCATAACAATATTGAGACTCGAATGCAATGCCTCTCGTTTCAAACGACAACAAACTATTCACTGAGATAATGAGTCCAAGTAACTGCTGACTTGTTCAGCAGGTATAAAGATATTAATAGGAATTAAGTCATTGATAGTTGAACTGAGAGATGTTGATAGATCCGAATTACCTGGCTGGGGTCTTCACGCTTGTCATATCCAATTGTTAAAGATGTTGAATGACTTCTCTCAGAATCCATAACTACGGAGCAGGTGCATTCCCACTTTGTCTTCCCTTCATTGCTTAGTTCTAAAATGATCCTTTAAATTTTCTATCCCACAAGTTCATTTATTCTAATCTTTTCCACTGCTGCTGATAATATGACTAATTCTACTGCCCTACGAATCGTTTCATTAACTCATCTGTCTTTGCAGATAGAAACAATGCACAACAGTACCAGTTTACACATTGTACATAGTTGAATGATACTAAATAGAGACAGTCTTATTTTCACAATGCTTCTCCTTTAGATATGTCTAAACTATCTCTTTTTTTAGTAATAACCTCACTTACTGTTTATATTTTGGTTTCTATTAAAGATTGGTGGCGTAGATTTAGTCATTTTATTAGACTGTGAAGAGACAACATTAATTGATCGATTACATCAACGATATGAACGTTTAAAACGTGCTGAAGATGAAGATGCTATTGTATTACAACGTATATCATTCTTTAAACATTGTACATTACCTGTTATAAGATATTATGATGAACGAGGTAAATTAGTAACAGTAAGTCTAGTTAGTTGACTAACTCCTTGTTAAATACTTATTGAAAATTTATGCTGATGATACTTTTCTAAAACTCTTTAGGTTCATTTGGTTTCTTGTTTACAATTGAAGCTTTAAGAAATGAAAATGCAATCTATTCATTGAATACATGTTTTATGACACAAATCGACAGTTTATAGTGTGATCTGATGAAGTAATTCTTTTTGATTACAGACAATGTTCAATTTATCCTGTAACGTGGTATAAACCATTATTATCAGGTTGTTAGACTAATTATTGTAAATTGTTTAATTATTATAGATTAGAAGTTGGTTACCAAAATATTTATTAAATATTAACATCGAACTGTTATCAGTCATATCTGGGGTCTTATCAATGTAATATTTCTACAGGACGAAGAATAGTTATTTATTGTTAAATATCATCTATTTACTGTTAAGTGATGGTTGAAAGTAGTGGGTAGAAAACCCTGAAACTATGTTTCATGTTACTTGATACTGGTTAACAAGGTGTATCTGTTAACCTGAGGTGATTGATGCTTCTTGGCGAACTCGATCCTGTGTCACCCAGTTTAACAGTCAGATATATTGCCACCAAACCATCCGGGCTGCGACTGATCCTCTTCAGAAATGAGACATATCCGCCAGAAAACACTAGTTTCCTAAAGATTACAGGTACATCTTGCTGACAAGTGAAAAATAGCACGAAATCTAAGTACAGGGTTTTCTGTCGACCATCTCCATCAATCAATTTACATTTCAACATGTTACCTGCGATGTCGAGTCACCTGGACTAATGACTACATTTGAACTTTGTCGATAGAATTCTATCGGCACCAACTTGATATTTATGACATTGATTACTATCTGTTAATCAATCAACTGTAAATAATCCACTTATTATAAGATTATGAATTCAATCGGTCATATCAGCTTCATTATTTCGTTTTATATTTAACTATAAACAGTATTAAGCCAGACAGTTTTTGATGTTTGATAATTTATAAAATGAAAACCCCGATACTGATTCAACGATTACAAGAAATTTCAATTCAACAGATGAACTTTTGTTTAACTATTAACAATCCAAGGTAAAAAGAAAGGATATACCACTGAGTGAATCTCGAAAACAAAGAGATTTTAGAATTAAAAGTCTGTGATAAGTACCATATGAGTATACAAATCTTTTAATAGACCAGATCATATCGTCTGCGTATTCTAAGTTTCTCATGATATGAGATCAAACTATGAAGAGTTAAATAAGGAACCATGATTTTTCGAAGAACATCTATGACGAAATTAAATAAAAGTGGGAGTAATGGTCAGAATTGATAGATATCACTTTAGTTAGCAAGCTAGAAGACAATTTACCACAAGCTTTGACTTGACCATTAGTTTATGAGTAATGAGCTCTCTGATTGTCAAACATTGCCACAAAAACTCTTGGTTAAGAAAGCCAGATGTTATTTTCAAGTCTAGAAGTATCATTATTATCGAAAGTCAGTAATTATGTTTATGATTCAGAACCTAACGAAGGATGAACATATAATATATTTATCTACGTTCAAATGTGAAGCCAGCATGATTTTCTCAGGTTTGCTAAACGTTGGATGAATATAGAGGCTTACACGCTAGCTAATACATTAGTAAAACTTATTCGTCTGGAGTTTTGTTCTTAAAGACTGGAACAATCAGCGATTGAAACCGAACTTCTGGGATTGAGTCCAGTTTCTGTACTCTAGATAATTTCTAAGTCAAATTAGCTTCTAGAAGTGTTACACTTCTAGAGGACCTCTGGAGTTGATCTATCAGATCTCGCTACTCTTCCTCACCTCAAATTATGTATAGCCTCTTAAAAATCATCAAGAGTTATGGTACTCGTTTCCATTTTCTATTTGGGTTTGTTGAATACCGTGGGGAACTAGAGAGTAGCTGGCGAAGAGTTTAATTGTTCCCCCTTTCGATACAATTTCTTGAACTAAGAGTGGATGATGGTCCTGTTTATTTTTACTAAAATAGTTTCACTAACAGCTAATTTCTCAGTAACTGATTCCTTGATGAGCTGTAACAGTTGTTTAGTGTATCAATGTATAATATAGTGTAATATTGTTAACTAAAAATGTATCTTTTATTACCTGAATTTACCAACTCGTTATAGCAACATTAATTTTATAAAGTGGTATAAAGGTAAACATTTGTTTTCGTATTATTATTATATACCAGATAAGAATATTTCAAATATAGTGTAATCTTTTTTGATCTTATTTTCGTTATTAATAGATTCCTGGTGATCAAGAACAAAGTCTTATCTTCAAAAATTTGGTTGCATTAATGGAATTCTTTCTAAGCACAGTATGTTTATTTCATCTTATTCACTTTATATAGAAAGATAACCCCCGTCATAAACTTCCACCATATAGGAAATTATTATGTGGTCTTGAGTGCTGTTCGAGGTTTGAGGGCGGCTATCACTTCCCGGTTGCCCACACCGTCGAAGGTTTGTTCTGGAAGTACCTGAAAAAGAAATTGGATTAGAAGTGGTCTTAGTGATCTGAGAGCGTGACCGCAGTGCCCAAGGGACAACTGCTTGAGGTCGGTCACACACGACCTTTTTATGAGTAATTTTTGTGTTAGCTCCGTACTTGTTGAGACCTTACCGCCGGAGACGGATATCCGTGAGATAAGGCGAGGTGTGCATTTTTAGGGTCGACCTCTTCTAACCCCACCCCTTCTTGTGGGGAGGTAGCATCGCTGTCGTGCTGGTTGTCTGAAGGAAACACCTTACTGCTGTCAAACCTCTGTACAGTCAGCAGTACGACTTTGCCTTCGGACCTTGAGTTTCTTGCTTTTAGTCTTACCGCTTTCCAACCGGTTGTTCCAGCCAGTATAGCTCGGTCGCTTCATCACGATAAGCAAGCCCGACCACTACGTCAAGGTAGCAACAACGGTCGGGATAGGAAATTATTAAATAATTGGAAGTACTAAGCCACAGCCAAGAATATTTAAGTGGATTCTTACTTCACTAGGAGGTGTATATACATATTATGTATAGCGCTTCCAGTAAATCTTTATGTTTCTGAGTGGTTGTCTGAAAATCTTATCTGTTTGAAACTTGGCTAATGCAAGCTTACGTATTCACTATGGTGCCTAGGTTTACAAGGTATGATCGTGAAAATACTGTATCATCAATAGACGATTATCCGAGATGTTAGGAAGATGTAAAGATTTGAGCAGTGTGTGAAACTGCGTAGCTATGCATCCTACTCAGGACTCACATCACGATATGGGGACATGACTATGATTCATTTCTCAAATCATTATTATGTTCTGAATTAACATCAGTACAATGATAGTTTTGTTTTGTCAACATTTGTTTTTCTCCTAATAAGCCAGATGACTATTCAATCTAGTTTGTGGAAACTCTCTGTTTATCTGAATAGTTCTGATTGTGCACACTAATCATAAATCATAAATAAAGATGAAAAAGTTTCGTTTTTAAGAAATTTGAAGCTTATGTGTAAAATGTCTTTTCATTATACATAAAAGGAAATACTCATATCGTGTCATCATGGGAAATAATTTATGCATTTTATTTCATATTCTATCTTTAAAAAAAAAGAAAGAAAAATCAAACAATGAAACATCCGATAATAAAATTGTAAAAACTGAAGAAATTATACCAGTCATATCAAAACTAATAAAAAATGAAAGTCGAAAACTTTTAACGGTAAGATTTTATAACTTTAGAGTCTACTTAATTGAATATAAGTACTATTTAAAATGCTAATATATTTGCTTTATTCATTATTTCCTCATAAATTTCTATGTTTTACAATCGTTTCATCGTTTGTAATCGTTTAATTTCATGCAATAAATGAGATGATAGTTTATAGTCTTCTGTAAATTAATAACTGCTGGTAGGCCAAATAAAGATACTAACACAACCACTATACTGATAATTACCATGTGCTCACTGGTGACTAGCTTCGTGAGACAATCCTCGAAGTTCTGATGGGAAGCAGGGACTAGTGGAGCTAATCCGTGTCGGGTAGAAACAGGTATCTACCTCAGTACAATGGAAGATGGTCGCTCAATTTCGTGGATTGGTTGAGGTTAGACATTAACACCGTTGGATGCCGGCCGGCTCAGTGGTTCAGTAGGTTAAGCGTTCGCGCGCGAGACTGAAGGCCCTGGGTTGGAATCCTGTGAGTGGGATCGTGTATGCGCACTGCTGAAGAGTCCCACAATGGGACGAAACAGCCGTTCAGTGATTCCACGTTTTCAATGGTGGTCTTACATCAATCGGTTCATGATCTCAATCAAAAGCTTAACAATCTCCACAACCACTATACTGATAAATAAATAAGTTGGCCTTTTACCTGTATGTATAGAATGATTTGATCATGAAAAAGTTCTACATTTAGCTTCGTTATTATTTTTTTCAATTTTGTTGATAAAATCTGTAAAAATAAAATTAAAAAGCTTTCAATTTTCCAATGTTATTTTTGTTTGTCTAGAGTGTGACAATAGATGGTAAGTCATTTGTGTGTGTGCGTGTACGTTTGTATGTGTGTAATTTTTATTTGGCGCATTTTTCGAAATTCGATCACGTAATTACGTTTCATTCAAAATAAATTTGATTGACTATATATATTTCATACTTGTTTGTTTTTAATAACACTGAAGTTTATATTGTATGGTTTTCTTAGATGTTCAACGTATAAAGATTGAGAATTTTCGTGAGTAATATGAAAACATTTAAGATATATGAGTGTTTTCAAGAAGATGAAAGTTACCTAAAAACCTTCAGTTTACTACCGATTGTATAATTATTAAAACTTTATTCAGGTCAATTCGACCGTCGTTGCTGCTGCCTTGACGTGGTGGTCGGGCTTGTCTTTCGTGATGAAGCAACCGAGCTATACTGGCTGGAACAACCGTTTCTCAAGGTCCTACCATGTCAGACAAGTCGGTTGAAGAGCGGTAAGACTAAAAGCAAGAAACTCAAGGTCCGAAGGCAAAGTCGTACTGCTGACTGTACAGAGGTGTGACAGCAGTAAGGTGTTTCCTTCAGACAACCAGCATGACAGCGATGCTGCCTTCCCATAAAGAGGAGTGGGTTTAGTAAAGGTCGACCCTAAAAATGCACACCTCGCCTTATCCCACGGATATCCTTCTCCGGCGGTAAGGTCTCAGCAAGTAATTGGAATAAGTCATAACATATAATGTTTATTTCAAAATGTTTTCTACTGTAAGTCAAGCTCATAAGGATGTAAAGAAAACCAAACCATAGTTTTGAAACCATTTAAAATTACTTTGAAGAAATAGTAACATGTTATGGTTCATAACTAATTTACTCAAAATGTCTGTTATTCTGAATAATTTACGTTTAATAATAGATTTATATAATAACTGTTAGTGGAGTTTATAATTCATGTTTTGTTGTGATCAAAATATTCTACTTGAGGTGAACGTTAAAGCTGTCATTTAGAAAAATCAATCTAATAGCTTGATGATAGTAAAATTTACCATAACATAATTAATATTATCAAGATTATTCACCTGATTTACAAATGCTTTGCATTGGTTCAATTTTAATTAATTTCAATAGTTGAGATCATGAATCAATTGAATTTGGACTACCTTGGAGCATCAATTGACTCATGATCTCAACCATTGAAATGACTATAATATCCACAAAAACCCTTCTGATTTTAATTAATTTCCTTTGTTAATGTATAAATATGAGCTGTACCGGTGAAAAGATATGTATATTAGTATTTTCACTTAAGAACGTTTCACAAAACTACTGATTTTAATTGCTGTTTTTTTTTTAAAAAAAAGAATTTTATTCGATCTATATTCTTTATAATAGATGATCAATCACTTGAAACTAGTTTTGAAGATAGCGTAACAAAAGATAATGATTCTTCTCCATCAAGTCAAATAATAATTACACCTGAATGTAAACAGAATTCATTAGATCAGATTGAATCGAAATTGGATAATTTAGAAGGTGATTATGAACTGAACTTTTATAACAACAATAAAAAACACATTACGTTTAATGTATCATTTGTTTTTCTTCAGGAATATAATTGTTTATTATATCTGAACATGTATTGATACACAATATGTAGTTAATCAGTTAGCTAGTCATTCAATAAATCGGTCACTTATTCAGTCAATATCCGTAGGTATGGTATGTGCACCTTCGAAGTGCAAAGTACTTCTACAAGACTGGCGGGATTCCAATCCTGTACTCACCCTGGATGGTGAGCAGATAGACGTAGTCGAGAAGTTCGTGTATCTGGGTAGCTGCATAAGTGCTGGTGGGGGTGTGAGTGATGAGATCAATGCACGAATAGTGAAAGCCAGAGCGGCTTATGCCAATCTGGGCCACCTTTGGCGCCTTCGTGATGTTAGTCTGGCTGTAAAAGGTCGGATCTACAACGCGTCGGTGAGAGCAGTTTTGCTTTATGCTTGTGAAACCTGGCCTCTCCGAGTTGAGGACGTTAGACGACTCTCTGTGTTCGATCATCTCTGTCTCTGAAGGATTGCTGACATTCAGTGGCAACACCATGTTAGTAATGTAGAGGTTCGGGATCGTGTGTTCGGGCACAGAGATGATAATTCAATTGGTGTCACCATCTTGAAACACCGACTTCGGTAGCTTGGACAAGTTCTCCGAATGTCGTCCCAGAGAATTCCACGTCGTGCATTATTTGACGACCCTGGGACTGGTTGGAAGAAGCGGAGAGGTGGTCAGTGCATGACATGGTGTCGTGGTATGAAAGAAAGCTGCAAAGGACTGGCTTGTGTTGGTCCTTCACGACTCCTTGGTTGGGGTCTGAGAGATGGTGCAACACAGTGGCTAGAGACGTTATCAGATGTGGCTCAGAATAGAAGCCAGTGGCAATCCTGCTGTAACCTTCTTTTACTTTCTTCATAAAAAGTGGTTGCGTCTCCTTTACCTGAAAGATTTCCGATTGTACCTTTGCGTTCCCTGATTACTACCACACTACCTTACACCAATCTCTTCGTTATTGTTCTTTTTTTTCTATTTCTCTTCGAATTCTCATTGTTTTGTGTGGTGCATATATGTTGGCGCTCTCTTGTACCAATATTTATGTGTTCAAATAAATAAATAAATAATAAATAAACAGTCAGTATCATCAACAGTGTAGAAATCGTTTCAAATGGAAGTTGGTTTAACTTATAACATTTTCTATCAACACAATAAAAGGAAACTTCAGTAGACAAAATTTAGTAAAATCGAAATAACAGTATTAATTGATGATAATAGAAAAAGGATACTTGGAATTTGGAAAAAAATGTAGTTCAATGAAGAACAAATGAAATTAAGCAACAAAAAAAGTCTGAGATCACTGTCAAACTTAATGGTTAAAGTTATTCATAGTGTTTTCGATATTCCGTAAGTGTGTTAGATCTGGAACTTTTCATTTATTTCTCTGTTCATTTAGTGAATAAGGACTGTAGATTAGTGTACTTTTCAATTAAGTCGTCATTTTAACAGTTAATGTTTATTGTGACATTTCGGTATGTGCTACACATTGCGTCAGGATTTGGAGGGAGGCGTCAGAAGAATGATTAGCAACTAGAAAGAATTGCCCGGGACAGAGTTCGATGCATAATCCCGGTGGCGCTCTATGCTTCTCCATGAGAGGTTACAGGTGTAAGTAAGTATACTGAAAATGTTCGTAGCAGAAAGAGGAATAAAACTCCACATGCTTGAGATGAAATATTTAGTTGAAATTCACTTTTTATTATGCATCCACTCTTTAAGTGTGTAAAAAAAAACCCGAAAGTAATGGATATGACACAGTAAGAATTAAAAACATTGCGTCTAACTTCAGCCAGCTTAAGATTTTGAAGTACTTTAGTAATACAATTGTCATTTCAACACAGACCTGCATATTAAGATAACGAATACCTCTTGTACTTTAACCAGAACATTTTTCGTAACAAACTAACACACCTCAGGTTAAATATCAAAGTCGACCTGATATTTCTTGCTTTTCTCTTTCATATCATGATACGTTGATTATTGATAATATTGTATTGAAGAGGCCAATCCAAGACGTGACATCATTTCTACCATCACTTATACTGTTACTATCTCTACTACTTTGATATTTGTCATCATAATTTCATCTCAGTATGCTGATATGATGCAGCGAGTAGAATCGATGCACATATGAGCCATATTTTGCATTACTTCTAGTTGATTGACTCATATTTCATCAATAACATCCGAAAGACGTTTGACGAGATTGTATGTATGCGTTTGCACTCATTTATCCAAAATACAGTGCGTTATTGTCACATTCTCCTACAACGACCTTGAGGGTGTCATAACAATTAGTCGTGTATTCTATAAAAACATCACAAGAATGTCACTAAAAAAATAGAGATTTATTTCACTTTCCATCGATTGATAGTATTCAACTATGAAAAAAGCAACCATAAACAGGCACTCATATGCTTAATGGAGGATAACATGATTGACTGTTAGTTATTGTGATTTTGTAAATCTTGAAATGTCATTGTTTGTCTTCGGGAATTCTTGAAAATACTATCATTTAATAGAAAAACATGTCTTATCGTTTTTACTAGTGTTTTAAAGCAATAAAGTATACTTCACTTATGTCCTTTCGTCATATTCTCATTCGTCATCTAATGGATCATGTTTGAAACGATGATTTTATAGTTTAAATACTGATCTTCATAAATTGATGAATCGCCTCACCTACTTCATTTTCAACATCTCTATAATGTCTTCAACGTATACGTCTAAACTGTCACTCAGAATAAAAATACATAAACCTGTACTTTATGAATATATATATATATATATATATATATATATATATATATATATATATATATATATATATTACATAGTTTACACCATGAACTAACTTTACTCCGTTAACTATTGAAGTCCTGGAAACTATAGATAGCTGTTATATATATATACCCAGTTGTCAACTATTTAATTTGTCTTTTCAAAATAGGAAGTCCGGAGAAAACTGTAAACGATTATTTGGACAAATATAAATTTGTTTTTGTTATCGGTAAATTATACAAATTTATATGTTATTGAATAATTTATATTTTGATTTTGTTTCGCAAAAGATAACACTGTTTTATCGTTTGATAGTATGATGAATACATATTTTAGCTTGATGATATACTCCAAATTTTTAATAAGTTGACTTATTTATTGTTATCTTTATTATTAATAATACGTCGTCTTCAAACAGTAGTTTTCTTTATGCAGTAATCTTAGTCATGAAAGTGTATGTATTTATCAAGGCTTAACTAACAATCGGACTCTCCATATTTTGGTGTAATCATACCTTTTCTGGTTCATCCATGTTGATTTACTAATTCAAGTGTTTCCGTGGAGATAGTCAAGATGAGCACACAGTTAAAAAAATTTCGTAACTGCATTCCTAGACATCGTCCCACCTGACTAAGTAAAGAACAGTTAAAGTTAACTGAACGCTTTATACTCTTTAGCTTGGTTGATACGAGAAATTAGTTGGACGTGAATAATGACCTTCATATCATTCACCGAATTCCACTAAAGTTTATGGTACATATCGTACAAATATGTCTTTTATATGTAAGCGGAGTCATCAGCATATATTTAAAAAAAACACGACATTAGTACTCATAACAAATTTGCGAAACCGCTCTTTCTATCTTAACTATAAAAGTAGCCAACACTTAAAATGGATTATAAATGTCTGGATTTATTCACTATTTTATCAGAGGTTATATTTATTTTCTTTTCGATGTGTTGTTCAATAACTTTAACAATCTGTTTATTCTTAAACAGCGGTTACTAATATTTGACTTTTTTCGGAAAGTTCATGATTTCTCTTTTTATATGTTAACCATACACTTGGTTCTTCACTGAGTGTTGACCAATATTGTCCATCTTTCTAGTGTGAGGCGTTACTACTGAGCTGTTTGAGCTGACATTTTTCTGCCAACTACCTCAAACCATCTTGCATCTCAAAAACAATACACAAGACAAAATATCTTAGACTGGCGACCACATTACAACTTCATTGACAAAATTTGATAAATACTGTGGATTGGACAAACGTTTTATTGTTCATTACTCATTGATTGATCAATTGTAAACATCTCAGTCCCATTGGAGATCAGGTAGAGCGTGAATAGCTCGGTTATAATGTTTCAGACTGTGAAGCTGGGTGAGGAGGTTGAACTGAAGAGAACACGACAAGGAACATAGATATATTGCAGTGATAACAGAATTAGAAAAACCATGAAGCATGTAAAGGACAGTTGAAAGAAGATGTGTCAATCATGTATTTGATGTATGATTTTCATATTCGATAAAAACAGTATTTAAATAGGAAATCACACTTTACTAAAATAATCTAATTTTATGAACTTGACCTTATTTGTGGTCAAAATTATGATTTGTACTTTAAAGAGCGATCATTATTAATTACATCGTTTTCAATTCAATTTTCTTAACAATTTTAAAGAATGAATTAAAAGAACATTGCTTGTCACCCCATATAGTTTTCTATTCATGGATAGGTATTGTTTTCCAATTGAATTAATTTCTATTATTAAAGATCAGATAGGATTACATCAGTAAATAAGTTTTCAAACAAACAGATTGTTTTGAATATATTGTAATCATCTGAAATAGTATTCCAACTTCAATGAATGAATTATAAGTATACTTAGAAGTTTTCTTCTTACCATTGCCATATTTCTTGTTGTTTTTATTCATTACTAATGTAATTTTCCTTTCTTTACAGGTAGTTGTGATGAGATAAGACGATTGTATTGTAAACATATATTAAAACAATGTAATTATAACTATATTTCAATGAAAAGTATAACAGATCCAGTGAATTTCGATGGAGATAATACTTTCAATTTGGATAAATTAATTCAAATTATTATAGAGGAGATGAGTAGAACACGTAAAGCAGGATATATTATAGATGGTATACCAAACAGTTTAGCTCAAGCGAAAGAAATTGAAGCATATAGTGATTCATTGAAAGTATAATACATAGTTATGAAATTTTGAGTTGTTTTGATGTTTTTAAAGATTTTCGCACTTATATACAGCATTTCATGTTTTAATGATGATGCTTACGTTTATTTATTGATTTATGAAATGGTAGTAGATGTAATAGTTAATGTGAGTAAAAACAAATTAGAAAATTAAAGCATTCACCGGTGTTAGTTGATGTAGGAATAAGCTGTAAGAAAACTACCGGCGGAAAAACTAAAACAGAATTAATCTATGATAGCATTAACTGTTGGTTCAAGCCATAATGCAAACTACTCAACTGAAGTTCTTGAGATAACTACCATTAACGGTTGAAGATGATAGGTGATATGCTTCACGATCTGTCATAATGGAGCAGATCTGTTCACTGTTTATCTTCCTCTAGATCTTCAGTTCCAGTTTATTTATTTGTTTTAACACATAGATATTGGTACAAGGAGGCACCAACTACATATGCGCCACGCAAATCTCATTTGATATGTGTGAGGGCTGTGATACTGCCCGGGTGCCCAAACCGAAGCAGGTGGTCTTCTTAGAGGGGCACTCCTCGAGCCTTTGACCTGAAGGTCTGATCCACAAGGCAGTAGAGCATCGTAAGGAGATGCAGTTCCATGGTAGCCGGTGACCAACAATTGATTCATACGCTATTTGTTCCCGCAGGATACTGGAGCCCATGTGCACCATTGGTTTGGAATCCGGTTAAATCGCCGGACATTCACTTTTCGTCCTCTTGATTTCGTAAACAACACCCCCGCCACGAGAAGGCAGTGAGTAGAACTTCCCTGGCAGAGGCTATATGCGCGTGGCCATGTGAGGGCATTTCGAGAGGGCGGACTCTCCCCACTCTCGGCCGTACTAGGGCATTTGGGGGCCAATGTGTCATTAATTATACTTATTCTTTTTTTCCTAAAGTATGATTTGATTTCTTTACCTTTCTCATTATTGTTGTTACTATATTGTTTCTAAAGTTCATATTACTGAAATAAGTCTGCTCAAGATGTTATACTGTAACTGACAAACTAAGTAAATACATAGCCTAATACTATTTGTTCTGTTGTTATCTAGTCGGAAATAATGAATAGGAAGCTGTAGAACCAAATGTTGTTTTAGTTGAGACTACCGAGTGAATAATGTTCAGATTAGTAGGTGCATAGTACTAAATGAAAATGAAAAACCGACTGATGAATTAGTGAATCAATGCTAAATATCGTGCTGTCATTAATGTCATATTATTATAGAAATTTTAGTATAACTGTAAATTTCAGTCGACTTTTAAAAGAGTTTCTGAAAGTACCTACCAACGAATAAAAAGATTTCGAATAAATTATTAATTACTATGCATGCATTCTTGTAGTATATTTCTGATCTTCATTCCGATAAAGTTTCAGAATTTGGTTAATTATATAATTATACAACTTGTTAACGGGCTCTCTGTGATGCTATTTTTATGAGTCCATATTATTCTTATACAACCTAAATATTGCAGTCATACTGTTACTTTGAGTTTGTTTGACTTCTACTACTGATCAACTATATACATGCGCACTTCAGAGAAGTCCCATACTAGGACGAAACGGCCGTTCAATGTTTTAAGGTTTCCAATGGTGGTCTAACATTGATCGGTTTATGATCTCAATCTAAACTCAACAATCTCCACAACCCTATACGATATTTACATTATTGTTTGGTCACATGTATGAAAAGATTAAATACTGAGTGAATACCTACTTCTAGGAATATATATATAAGTTGATGTTTGCTACTTTAACTACACAACTTATGGATTACAGTAGTTTACTGTAAGTAACGATAATAACCGAGTGTTTTTGTACTACTAGTACTATTATCATTATCGATGTTATTATTCGAAAGTAATCCGTTGTAAACTAAAAAATGTTCCTTCTTGTTTTTCAAAACCGATTTTTTTCAAAGTTTTCAAATTGTAAACTGGTTGTTTTATTAGAAGATAAGTTCTCTGAACATGACCATTCCGGAGATAATTTACAATGTCATAAGAATAAAGTTGAGGAAAGTTTAATTGAATTTCTAGAATCTACAAAAAAATTATATCGTGTAAGCTGATTTTTGTCGCGTTTTCTTATTTTTTTTAAATTTTAACTTCATTTCATGGAAGTTTCTTTAACCATGATGAGTTTGTGGGTGATTAAAATCTTAACATTAACTTGACACAACTATAACGTAGTTTAAATCATCCGTAGTTCAGCTGTACTTTTCATACCTAAACTTCTGATGTGGTAATGTCTTTGTAAAGTAAGATAACTACACACTTGTGCCTGGTTATTTATTTTTGATGAGTGATTTTATCATAATTTCATGTTTTGTTCAAATTTTGTAGTTAATGTTATAGTAATCTTTTATTTCACTGTATATTTCGAACAATTTAACTTGGCTAATTGTATATACATAATGAACATTTCATCATTCATATCTACATATTTAAGTTCGTTGAGTAACACATTTGTTTAGTAGAAGTAAGTGTACACGCCAATAAACCATAAATTCTCGTGCGAGAACTATAAATTCTATTTAACTGCACAAAAGTAAGTGAAGTAGAGCTATAACTGATGGTCCTGTGAATTATCACGTGACATAATCGCCAATCAGAACACTGACTTAAATTACCCTGTTCGTGTGTTAAACCAATGACATGTCAACCATGAGTCAACTATGAATTCCTAATGGTCCTCGATATAGTAGCTCCTTGCTTAGCCCTGCCCATTGAGTCCACTGTATGAATCGTATATTTAAGACATACTCAGTTTATATACTAGCAGACTAGACTTCATAACACCATAAAATGTAAAAATAATTATTATACATGATCTAGCCAAAAATGGCTGTCAGTGTAAGGTACCGTAACGGAAAAGTCGGGAATAAATTAAGAATGGTAAATCGTATTCCACTAGCCAATAGGTCAAATGGAAGCTTATAATAAAAGAAATATGAATACACATATAATATAGTTACTTAATAGTTGTCCATTAGGAATACATGTAGTAATAGTCCATAAATAATTCCTAGCAGTCATCATTCATTTGCTCTTTGTCGGGATATAGCAATTAGGATTCGAACCACTAATGTATTGCCGGAACGTGAAGTTCTCTAAACATCAAGCCTCAACTCCATGTATTAAATCCTAGATAATTAACTAAATGGATACTACATCAATAACTCTTTTTGTCTATATAAATCTAATTATTGTAACTGGATATATATCAACAATAGTAAGAGAATTCTCTATTCAAATTAAATAATCTGTGCTTAGACAAGTTTCATGTGTTATACACCTTATTTACACTGTTGCGATCATATAAAGTATACTTACATTCAATGGTATTATCAAGGATATAGACAACATAATACTGATGAGATGTATCATTTTGTTTCAACATTATCGGTTAGTTTTTTTTCTCAACTATTTAATTAAATTTTACTATTTTTAGTATTGAATACTACCTCCGCCCTCAATATAATTTGTTTACTATAAAATCGGTTTTTCGAACTTTTTCTTATAGTTAAAATTCAGTTTTATAAATATATATAGACTGTAATTTATTTGACTTTCATGGGTGTGACTTGTTTCATGTTTGCTTTTTTTGGAATAAATAATTGTATTCAAACAAATGTTTTGTTTGTTTATTAAAGTTACCATAGTAACTGGAATCATTTGATAATTGAAGTATCAGTCCATTTGGATCTTCAAATATATATATATATATAAACTTTTATGCCATTTATACTTTTATCATAATTAGAGTGTAAGTACAGTATACACATCCACTTATACATAAATATATATTTCCTTAAATAAAATGGGACTTTACTCTAGGTTCATTATCAAGCTATCAAATTGTTGATTCGTGTTATTGATATATTATTTTCATTCTATGTAGAACGGTGAATATGGTCAACGTTATTATTCATATAGTATGAAGTCTCAATACAAATGAATGAGTGATAGATTTAATGAACAATTAGGTCTATGTTAGGTTTGAAGCTTCATGAGTTCACTTAATCTGCGAACGAGAACAAGACTCAGTGACCAAAGACCAGTAATCTAGCTATTGATGCGTCCCAGCCCCGCTATCTAGAAGGAGAAGTCCAGGCTTGGTATAGAAAATATATTCTGCAAACAGCCAGAAAACGAGCGAGCAAGCACTCAAACACAATCTAAAACATATATATACAAATAAATATAATCGATATTGTCATAGTAAAATGTTTTTAAACATGACTAATTAAGTTCATCAATTGACAGGCATTCAAATATTTAATCCATAAGTTAATCGATATGATAAAATTACAAATATGAATTTTGGGGATATACCGTCCCCAACAGTCTACAGCTAGCAGATACAATGATATATAGTACACAACAATACTTTTAACAGTGATAAGTTCTCACGATTAAGAAGACAGAAGAAGAACACTGAAGCAAGTAACATAATGGTACATTCGATACTTTTAATAGTATAGTACTTAATAAAAATAAGTATAAACTTTATTAACTTACAAGTGTTACGATAATAGTGAAGTATGTAACATCACAATCATAAAAGTCGTAATAACAACATTAACAGACCAACTAAAATATTCTGAGTTTTGCGCTTGTTGAAGTCATATATAAACACTGTTTGTAAGTTGTATATTTAGATAAAACAGATACCCAATGGTTTTTGCTTTTCAATAAATTTCTAACAAAAGTTCAACTTTAATGTATAAATTCAAAACAAGTCAACTTAATGACAAAAGCTTTCTAAGTTAATACACATTCTGTAAAGCTTTGTCTTTTGCTTTGCTAACTTTTTTTAACTACTGCAATATATGTTAATAATGCTTTTTTTTGTTTTAATTCAACATTTTATAGATACCTTGTTCACAGAATGAAGATGAAATTGCTTATCAATTACATAATTTGTTTACATAGCCTGTAATCTTCACTAAAAGTTTCTTATTGTTCTTTTTTTGATCTCTTCAATATTCAATGTTTCGAATGTTGGAAGTTTCATCTTTAGAGCTTTAAACAAATTATCCTTATAGAATGTATTTACTTCTTAAGGAAAGATAATTTGTTGTACTTTATTTTTTAGAAAATAACCAGTTTATTCGTTTCACATTAATTAATTGAACGATATATATATGTAAATCTGTCACCCTCATGAGGGGGGGGCGTATATAGTTTGTAAAACTACAACCAGTATGAACTACATTCTAACCATTAAAATAATATTTTACCAGAAATAGTGTCGTCTGTTCTGTTCCGTTTGTTTCTTTTTTCAATATTCTTTCTTAATTTTAGGTGTATTTCATCTAAATTAAATTTGTTTGTCCAGAAAAAAGATTCTACCCTCTTTTATTTTAGACACTTAATACTATGAATTAAACAAAGGTGGAACTTAAGTTTATGTGATTCAATAATTGGTCACATCTATTACCGGATCAAACAATTTATACGATATGAAATAATCTGAATAGTTTGTGGTGTATTCTACTTACGTTGATAGATATAAGTAGTATATAACACGAGTGGGAAGTGGAATGCATGCCAGCAGAATACTGAGAAGATTCAATTAAGAAGAACAGAAAATTATTGTAATAACAACAGAATTCGAAGAATCAAAAAGCATGTAAAGGACAACGGATAGATGTGCAAATCATGTGCTTATGTATGGTTCTCATATTTTAAGAAAGTACTCTGTAATTTTACTGAGTGCTAGATCACCACGTGTGAACCTAACTTGGCCTTCGATATTCTCTCTAACCAGTTAGCACTTAATTCTTGTGGTTCTAATAATTAAATCAATGAGTCGCGTAGACGAATTACCTTTTTCATCCTGCTTTTTGTTCTGCATTTGATAACATGACATAACGTATGTACCCTAAGCTGTCGGACAAAGCTTGTCATTTATGGACAATTGACCACCACATACGTTGATCCTAGCACGGAAAATGCTGCAGTGTTTTGTGCTCTGTGATATTCTATCCTCTATCGGTGCGTTGAGAAGTGTAGCGTGGCGTCGAGTCGCGGTTGACTATGAACACCGCTACCAAGAAACACGTGCCAGATAAATCAGAAGGCGAAGATCGAACGTAACCAGATTTATGTCGTTGGCGATCTCGTGGTATTGAACGAATACCGAGATCGTGCCAAGGAATGGTACAAGTGGAAGCAGGAGACAGGAGTACGTGCGAACAGTACCAAAAACCGCGGAACAATGATGGAAGGTAATGGAAGCACAAAATGGCTATAATTAGCACAGCTAAACAAAAGCACATTAAAACAAACACTGGTACAGTTGGTTATAATAATAATTGTTTCTATTAAACCAATCGTGTTCTCGTGATAAATGTGAGTCACTACAGAAGTATGTGACCTAAGCTGATTATCTAGTATGCGAGATGTACGAAACGACACAACCAAATGTGGACTCGTATGGATGCTCGACCTAACACCTGCTAGAAGCGTGTTCACTACAACTGATGAGGTCAGCATCAATATCGAGTACTACATAGTTTGAAGGATTTATTTCTCGCTTCAAATTCCAACAACAGGTTTTTACTATACCAATATTCACCTATCATTGATTTTCACCGTGATCATCTATATTTCATTCGTAGAATAACTAATGACAAATTAACTTTACTAGTATTTTTCTCGAGCTCCCAAAATTGGAGAAACTCCCGAAGTCAAGTGACCTTGACCAAGGTTAAAGGGAGGCTTTGGTGAAATTTTGGCGAATTTCCCCAGGTCTGCGGAAATTTTGGTGTTTTAATGTCATTTCCTCAAAGTTTACTATAGCGGCTTCCCCAAAATCGGGAGCTCGTATTGTTTAGTTACGAAATAGACAATTCGTGCAAATGTTCTTCATCATGTGGAATACAGTGGTAACGACTGTATAAAATTTTGCTATGGCTTAAAGGTCGCGCTTAAACAAGTAGCCTAGTGATCGCTAGAATTATATTCTATCACTTGTAAAACAGCAAGCTGTACTGCATCACCACACGAGGTGGGATGAATTTAGCTAAGGTTATTGATCACCAGAATTAAACAGCTATTTTGTTTGCACTTGTCAATATGAAGGCTGTCTCTGTCAAAGGCATTGAGATCTCATTGTCATTTCAGGACCAAATAAGATAGTTGCATAGCTATTGGAAATACATTATTCTAGAAATGAATCCCCGTTTTTAATACAAAATGGCTACTAGGAAATGTGTACATAAGCGAGAGAAAAATGGGTTGATCGCACTTCTCAGCTATTGCATAGGCACGGTGGAAAACTGATTTATGCTGTTTTCATGCGCGTGTATTATGAAATTATGTGCATCAGTGAATCAATATTTCTCATCTCAATGATGGAAATTCGCCATATTTTGACTTCCGCGCATTTCAAATAGTGTCAGCTCATATGTTATGTGTGGTATTTGTGCGAACCAGCAATACCTTTTTACTTGATTGTGCGCAGATTACGAATCCCAAGTACAATGAATTTGTTTGTGCTTACCCAGTTCTACCTACCTCAAATTACATTACTTAGGGAATTCCTAATTAGCACAATAATTCAAATACTCTCTGTTATCATATTATGGTAAGTAATTATAGTCTATTTTAAAATGCTCCGTTTATGATATTCTTATATCAGCTTTAATCTTTTCTTTCAAGCCAATCAAATATGGAATAATTTTATTGTCACTGTTATACGAGTTCCCACTGACGTATGTTCAGTATCGCCTTTGGCAACTTAACAAACATCAAATGTTATTTGTCACGCGAGTTTATGTGGATATTTTCTAATCATTTAAAAGTGATAAACTATGCACTAAGGTTGGATTTGAGCGTGTTTTAACTTGCAAGTTTTTTTAATTTCATTCATTTTAAAGAGTATTTTTCTGTAAAGTACATTAACAAACTCAACTAAAGCTGGTTATCTGGTATAGAAAAGGTGTAGTTTAGAAAAGCTTTTCGGAATTCTTATTCAGTTAGCACTATCAGACAGTGACAATAACCTTTCATTTTTGTCAATGCTGTTAAGAATTATGATGGAAATTTTTGTAAAACGCGGTTATTCACGACAGTCTTTGTAAAATACAGATCGGATACATCGCTCGTCTGTTTGAGCGTTAGCTCGAAAATCTGAATTTCACGAGATAGTCTCCTGATATTATATGGAGTAGTCCCCTTAATACTAGAGATTTTTAGCATCTTATCAATAAATTCATGGGTTGTGGTGTTCTTCTGACCGAATGATTCCTCGAGAAGACCTAACGCCTTACCATAGCCTTCTTCTGGTTCGAGAAATGCACAATGAACAATAGTAGCCTTGACTTCACCATCACAATAGTTCAACATAGATCGACTTCTTACACATTCACCGAAACAGCCTTCGAAATTTTGGATGAAACTATAATAATCCATAGAATTATCACCAAACCTTATGATCTATCTTTTTGGTAGGTCCAAAGCTTTAGATATAATTGCTATCGAGTCCTTCTCATGAGGAAGACCGACTGTATGTGAGAAAGATGTAGACTCGTACGACACCATCTTGTCAGCCGCAACTTCACTACAATGTTCTCTTCGTTTTAATCGTGACTTTTTCAACTCAATTTCTCTTTCTGTCTGAGCTTAGCGTGCTTTAACTAATTTTAACTATAACAGCGGATCCGCTCGGTAGCTGTTTGCTTCAAACTGGTCATCAGTACGAGTTTCTGAATAGTGGGAAGACAATTCAGGAATCTGGTCAGTTTTACGATTCATCGTAAACACTTAACAGAACTCGACGTATGAATTTCTGGAGAGTTACTGATCGAAAATTTGTGTAATTTAATTTGTTCTACCGATATTCTACGAGAAGTGTAAGCGCTATACTGAAAACACAGAATCTATGTGAAAGCTACAGTCAAAACGAAGATAACTTGGCTTTAAGCGTTATCTGTTTTCAAAGGCAATAGCAGAAAGACAGTTCTATTGGTACACTAATTGAAGAAATATTAGTCAAAAAGCAAATCGCACAACATACCGACCAGTATTGTGTGCCTTACCAGAATGACTAGAAGACATGAGTCACAGTCACACTAATATGACAGGATAATAATATCTTCCCACTGGTAGATCACATGTATCAAGGATAGTCTACAGACGAATCAGGCCAGTTGGCATGATAAGCGTTTAAGCAACGATTTGGTTGGTTAGTTGTAGACATATCTAACAGTAAGAACATCGACATTCATCATCTTTAATGAAACATGTCGGTAGACAGAATTCTCACGTCTTTTTGTTGGTCTTGTGAGTCGAATCCATATCAAGAACTTCTAGAAATTATTTACGTAATGCGAGTTGATCGTAGATAATAAAACACACTCTATTTGCGAGTCCATCAGCGTAAAAAAATTCTGGAAGTTTATCTTTCTGTTCTAAGGAACTGGAAACATGCAGTCAAGTATCACGGCCTGAAAATACAACAGTACGTGAACATACGAGAGCCTTGAAATCGTACTAGTCCCTACGTACACAACAGACCACAAGTCTTCAAATATGGAATCCTTGCCGTCGTTCAAGAACGTAGAAATCAACTTCAGGCAGATATGAAAGTCGATTGTTTTTCTTTCGTTTCGCGAACGCAAATCTATTTCGAATTTCACCTTGACGTATGATATTCGAAGGTGATAGTGGGTTATTTATTCACAAGGTTGGGTGTTGCGTGGCCCATCGTTATATGTAGCTTGACCTCACTAAGTTTCATTGAGCATTTTGGAAACTTCCAACTGATCAATCGATCAGTTTAGAAAAAATATGAATTTAATAAGCGTTCGACTTCATGGGATGCTTTTTTGATTGTCTATTAGACAGGCTCATGTAGCGTGTTACAGAGAGTAATGACTTCGACTGACTTGATGTACCCGATATCTTTGATTCGAACTTTTCATTCCAACTGTTATTACTACTGTTTTTGGGAAATTTTATGGTACTACGCTGTGTTGTGAATTCATTATATACAATAATGAAATAAAAGGTAACGTTCGGCATAATTCGTCTGTGCCTTTGGGAATCCAGTTTCTTAGCTTCGAGTTTATGTGTATAAATGAGATAAGGGGTAAGAAGTGATGTAGAAATCACATTTCAATCTTCTGTCTGACCAGGAAGCATATGCAACCAAAAGTGTTCATCCAGCATCCTAGTGGGGGGAGAACTTATGCCTTACGGAGAATCATTTCGCAATTTTTTAAAATAGAAGTTATGACCCATAAACTGAATAAGTCTATGCCTTAAGAGCTCTGAGATGTAGCTTGCTTGGTGAATAAACGCTTAATAAAATATATCACATTCAAATCGAAGATGCCGTGTAGTTGTCAAAGGGATAGATAGGAAAGATCAGGCCTGCTACTGACCGGCCCTATTGCTCTCAATACTGTTGAAAGTAATGGAAAAACTGGTAAAAGTGCAAACGAAGAAATGCATGGATAAAATAACATCAGGAAAGGCAAGTCCTTTGCGTTCAGTCTACTCACAGAACATAAAATCTAGACGACCTGTTAGGACAATAAGATACTGGTTCATATATTATCCCTCGAACTTGCAAATGTCTGAATATCAGGAGTTCCACAAGAAACAATCTTCCGTCTACTCCTGTTTCGAATTGATTGCAGACGAACTATTAGATATAATTGGCTCGAAACAACATGTTATGAAAATTCTAATCTATGGGACATGATTTAGTCACATCCTCTATGAAAACATGCTCTTGCTGCAGCGTCGTTCGTTGTTTTCCTTAAAATATCATCACTACTCCACTCTGAAATGCACATTGTTGTTTTACCGTCACTCTTCGAAAGAGATATAAATCTCTTAAAACAAGTACCTAGTGGGTTATAGGAGCAAATCAAAAATCATAAGGAAACAGACTTCAGCACCCGAGATTACTATCGCTGATTTATAGGAGAATAAGGGCTGATCTGCTAACGTCATATAAAACACCAAGTGTAACAAGTCAACCCGATATGAACATCACTACCACGCCTCTCAAAACAAACCCTGTAAAAGTGCACATCATGGCAAGAACAACCAGGTACACTGTCACGTTTTCTCATTAAGAGTTTTATCCACTCAGAGTGAGCTCCCAACCGGAGTGGCCACAGCTCCATCAGTAGATGGCTTTAAAAGAAGATTCGGCAACACACTCACTCATGGATTACCACCTCTCGTTTGGACTATCTGTGCCTGATGACTCATAAATTACCCACTATTATCATTACCCTATACCAGTGACCACTTCTTATCTAGCTTATTATCATCTGCCTTGCCGCCATTATTCTTGAACTTCCGCCTTATCGTATATTCTCAAGTACGTCTCTAATTAAAATGTTGCGCAAACTTCAACTTACCTAAAAGACATCTCACTGAATTTCAATACACTTCTTTACATTAATTATGTGTATATGTATGTGACTATCGGTTGTTTTACTATTTGTCGAAATATTTTGTGTTGAAGATTCTATGTTGTACCAAATACATAATATCGTTTAATGAGTGAGCGTAAAGAAATCGATGCGTCAATACAACATCGTTACAAGGATTTTGGATTTTAGATATCGTATTAATAACAATACGGATATAATCGGGAGGATTAACATATGTGAGAAAGTTGTCTAAGAGATATTGGAGATTGTATACTAATCGCTGTTATTGAACGCGCTAACAATAAAAGGTTAATTTGTTTTCGCTCCACGTTCATATTTCATGCATCAACCTATCTGAATGACATTGCTTGAAATGAATAAAAACCCCAATATCAATTGATTTGACGTCTGATGATGGAATGACGTATGTTTGATGAATGAAGTACAACACACTGTAGACTGATTCATGGATCAATCTATAGAAGATGTCAAGACTCTGACTATTAGGGTGATCGACCATATGTGTAAAATCCCCTCAGACCAAGGATATAGTTCAAATGAGTTCAAATCAATCATTCACCTTTTCGACAGGAGTTTTTTTGCCATCGAGAATTCTAGAAACGTAGTGGAAGATTATCGCCTTTGGATAGCTACAAAAGTGTTATCTAGCGGTGAATACCCCTACCGTCTTACTCAGATCTTTACAAACTTGGGAGAATATTCCTTCGGATCTCTGAGTGTTGGGAAAGAATCCTACAATGAACAGTACATTGAATTGCTATCATCATTTCAGTTGACTCTGTGCAATTATCTTGAACTAAGTGAATTACTGGCAGAGAAAATGTCAATGCAAGATGCTTATTTGAAGGAAATATATCGTATTCATCAAGCCATATTGTCATACGACGGAATTTGTGCTGAAGAAAAGGTAAGAAATTTAAGCTAAATTTAATTTGGGATTATTCCTTAGAAAATCACGTTGGTGGTAGAAATAGTTGTAAAAACCCTTTACAACATGCTGCAACACGAAAGCCCAATAATATGTTTTGCCTTCAAAAAGCATAATCTCATAGATATTGTTACACATTATGCAAAGTCCACGAATACTAATTTGCAAGTACGATAATAACTGATATCCATATTTTTTAGATAGCTTCTTATCTAAGCTTAGCGTACAATTATAATGAAGAAGATCAGCTAATACCTGGAGATAACGAAAATATAATTTTTTTGGTAAATATGCTCGCTTATGCTCTTGATAAACCCTCAACAAGGATATATGGTTACTCATGTGAAGAAATCTTAAAAGGTTAGTTTCAGTTACATGTTTTATTTACTTTAATTGTCGTCATACTGTTCACAGTTAAAAAAACTTAATTAAGCACCATGGACGGCTTCATTGACAATGGAGACGCAAACTTCTACTTCTGTATTTGAAGAAGTCATATAAAAATCCTTTGTTTCCCCATTTCATACGTATATTTTATTTTTCCTCAGTCCTTTACCCACAGGTTTTGTAAAGAAGAAGAAACTGAACGAGTTTTTGACTTTTGAGAGCTGTTTTACTGAAAACCTGACCTCAGCAGTTATTTCAGATATCATCTCGACAAGTCTTTTTATCTCACTTGAATACTGTGTGTAAAGAGGTCTTCATGAAACACTTTATTATTTAGTGGTTTTTCTTACAGGAAGTCAAACATTTCCATTGACCTGCAGTATTGTATTTCATGATCACTATTTCATACGACAGGCCTTTCAACAAAATGCTATCGACTCCGTAACTGATTCCCTACACTTGATGATCATTGTTTAGTAGACTGCTTTGAACATTTTTTGATTGCTGTCTGTTACATGGTCGATACTTGCTTTACAGAGTTCCTAAACGCTATTCAATAATAACTAGTTGTAAAATTTCAGAGTCAAATATTGTAGTTCAGTTATGATACAAGGAATACTGTTGAACGTTACAAAAGCACAAACAACTAACAGGCCGTCCTGGTGCGAATAAGATTCTATGAAACTAAAAATTGGTAGGTTAGACAAACGAATGTCACAATTCTAATAATTCATAGACTTTTAAAGAGAAATCAGATGGTAAATCAGAACGGTTCCATGCATCATAAATAAAACAAGATTCCATGCATAACGCGACATAAATAAACTCGAGCCATTTGATCAGAAGGTAACAGTGATATTTGCTAAAAGACTAAAATAAACCACTAATTATCCAAGTATTTTAGATCACTCAAAAACAGGTTGTCGAAATTACAGCTACGATGCCTTTAATCACCCATAGAGCTTTTAAAAATAGAATTCGGCTATTCATAAATACCGTCACAAAAGTTGCTCAATCTAATGTGTAGTGCTTTCTCTCTTCCTTGGCACATTTATCTTTTCGATCAGGGTTTTTTATTAGTTGTTACTTTCAGTAATTGTCAATCAGGAACAATATCACAGCTTTCTTTGTGTTTATGTTAGATGCATCAAGTTTCAAACATAACGACGTTTTTTCATGATTTTCGGCCAATTGTCTATAAGGTTCTGTTTGGTCTTGAATTAAGTTATTGTTTTTTAATTCCCGTTTAGGGGTAAATCGTCACTGTGAGCACCAATACTGACATGCAGATATACTGGGTTGATAAGCCTAATGTGAGATAAAAAAGGGCAAACTGAATACCACTTCTAACTGCAATTTATGTGTTACAAAAGCAAAAATCTGTTGGAATTTTGGCTCAGAAGGCCACCCCACAAAATTCATCAAAACTTTTAGTTGAACTACAGGCTTTTACAATGAGTAATTCATAATTGTGTCATTAATTTGATCAACGTCAAAATCATTGCAAGTTTCCCTAGATAATATTACAACAACATTCAAAAATATATATAATACAACGACGAACAGTCTTTTGGTGTAAAAAAGTTTGAATTCACTATCACCGTAAAAGTTTTTTTGAAATGACACTTACCAGTTACCAATAAAGGAGTCAGTTATTGCCATTGGGTGATCGATTTGTCAGTTTCACTTTGAGAACAAAATTTAGGCCTTCCAAATATAGACAATCGGCGTTCCTTCTTTTATTATTTTTACAGGTTTGAGACTATTGGCATCTAGTGATCAAAACAGACAGTTCATATGCCAGTCGGCTATACTGCAAAGCATCCAGTGCACTATAAAAACACTGAAAGGAAAAGTATTAGAAGAAGTTATACTTTTTCTTTTGAAATTAACACTCAACTCTGGAATAAGAGACAGAATAAGAAAAGACTTTGGGGTCGTATTGAAGGATTTAGACATATCTTTCAAAGCGGAAGAGTCTGAAACCTCAAACAACATAAAGAAGGCACTTGATAGCATTTTATGGCAGATGAGTCAAGGTTAGCATATATATAGACAATCAGATATTAAGCCAGTACTTTTTGTAAATGTAAAATTCTATGTTATTAAACTAACACAAATGGTTTTCTGAAAAGCGAATGCAGTAGATTTATCTAGTATATATACCCCACTTATCGCTCAATCAAAAGTAATTCACAAAAGTTACTCGATACTCAGAAATAGAAAGGTGTTCATAAAATTTCATTCTCTTGAGTTATCGACAAGTCATAAAAAAATGTAGGCTTGCAAAGATTTTGCGTCAGCATTGTAACAAATGCAAATTAGTTTTATCAAATAAGTTCAATGAAGTTGACTAAAAAACCCAAGAAAACGAGGATATGATTTTTCCAACCATAATCTAACATTTTCCCATAAAACGTCCACTATTCATCATAAAGTGACTTTACTAACGGCATTAAAGCAAATACTCAATGGTAAATAATTTTTTAAATTTCCCATATGGATATATCGAAAATATATCAATTATTAACTCTCTATCGAATGTTCATATTATTTAAAATGATCAAGTCCAACCTTGGCATTGATACCAATAATCAACAGATTTTGAATATGACATACCTATCTATAAATTAAAAATAAGTATCAGTCGTTATTACTATATGTTTGGGAATAATATTCATTATTTTCAAATGAATAATATTTCTAAATATGGAAGTTGTTGGAGTCGCTGAATTTTATTAAATTTAACAGATTAATCTAGGTTATACATTCGGTGATGTCTTGGGAACAAGGAACATCTGATTCATACTAGTATATAACTCATCACTAGCGTGCATCCACGACTCATCACCGGAGATCGAGCCCAGAACCTTTGGTCTCGAGTAAGACTGTTTAACCCTTAAACCATTGATCCAGGACTCAATAATCTTTATGTCTAACTTTAGTCAATCCGTGATATTGTTCGACCATCTTCCATTTTTTCGAAGCACTATCTTCACAGCCAAAATAACTGTTTAACTAAGATTGGTTTGGAACTTAAGTAGTAAAACTCATCGTCAGAAGTTTTCAACCTAAGATCCCATCCTTAAACAGTCACAGAAAACAACCAGGTTTAATGTTATCAGGAATATAGTGAATTCTTTGTTTAAATTGTCAAAATATTAGTGAGTGTATAGTAGTAACTTATTAGAATGTGCGCATTCTTCGTCTTTGAGATGCAAAAGAAAATTGTCAGAACTTAGTTAAATGTATTGAATAATCAATATATGGACTAAGCAACACAAAGCCTATATAAACATTTAGCTGGAATATAATTTATTTCAGTGATCGCTAGACATATGTTTTCCAACTTCACTAGCAAAAGGAAGAGATATTTATGGATTTCTATTGTTTATTAGGAATCTTTTGAAAAACAAAATCAGACATTTTTATGTAGTTGCCCGTAATTGAAATAATTATTTTGTAGCAGCTCCAGTAAAGTCTACTACTCTGATTATAAATTTGATAGTTGGAAGTATGTATATCACAAAAAAGATTTCAAATTTTCCTATGATAAAAGATTAAACTACATGATATATCTTGTGAAATCCTATAGAAACCCACTTTGATGTGCCTTATTTTAATTCTATATGTGACTAATTATTTGCCACCCAGCTTGTTTCTATTACTACATGTTTATTTTTATGTTTTATTTTTCATATATCGTGACGGACGTTTCAATGTATTATGAATACATTGTTTAGACCACATATAATTACCTACTTCAGCAAAATATGACGTCTTAAATAAGTTTCCTCTGATAGTAGAAAATAGTTTTTCTTTACAACAGGTTCTTAACGAGATAGACTGTTCACTTCCTAACCTTCAACTATTTCATATTTAACCAATGATCATTTGCGTTTAACACTGATCTTTTTCTATTATTATTTTTCCGGTGACTTATATGGTATCATCCCCAATTCTTTGTTACTGTAATTTATTTAAATTTTGTATACTAATTTGAAAATACTGTAATTTAAACCATTATATTTTTGCCCTAGGTTATTACTATTTTAGCTCAGTTTCATCAGTCAGGTGATTAGAATGTTGTTGTGGTCGATTAAAAGTTTGTATTTGTTTTTCTATAATAGCTAGGGCGTTTCGCCCGTCGAGAGCCTACCATTAACAACGAATTAGGAGATAGAGGCATAGACTGTTCATTAGAGATCTCCTTTCAATAAGCTCTAAATCAAAGACAGTATAACCAGTGATATCTTGCGTGACAGAGTAATCAGAGGTGATATAAGAAAGATTTATTTAAATAAACTTTGTGATTTTCCACTCGACTTATTGTACTTATTTACTTTCTTATTCCTGTAACCCCTCGTGGAGGAGCATAGGCCGCTCACCAGCACTATCCATACAACTATATCCTGGGCAATCCTTTCCAGTTTATAAGAGTTTAGAATAATCAGTATATAACTGAAAACAATATCATTTTGATATACATTTATATAGTCTTCATTGATGCAGAATTGCTCCTGACATTTTATTATTTTAATTCTATAATTTAGATAAGAATTCACTAGATTATGAATCCAACTTAAATTCTTCTACGCAACTTGAACATTTAATGATAAGTTATAGTCATAAACAGAAAGAAATTGCAATAAATCTTACAAAACATTTAAAAGAAAAAGGATATAAGGTTAGTGAATTTTTTTTTTAAACATCTGAAAACTTTACATTATTCGACTGTACTAATAAAAATTAACAATAAAATTGTGATTTCTTTCATCATTGTTGAAAAATGTTCCTCTTTTTATATATTCTCATAACAGTTTATATTCTATTCAATACCTACTTACTTACGCCTGCTATTCATTGTGGATGAGCATAGACCGCCCACCAGCACTCTCCATCCAACCCTGTCCTATGCAATCCTTCCCAGTTCTTTCCAGTTGCTATTCATCCTTTTCATATCTGCTTCCGATTCACGACGTCATGTGTTCTTTGACCTTCTTCTTCTCCGTTTCCCTTCACGAGTTCAAGTCAGAGTTTGCCTCGTGATGCAGTTTTGTGACTTCCGTAATGTATGTCCTATTCACTTCCATTTTTTTTTCTTAATTTCCTCTTCAACTGGAAGCTGGTTTGTTCTCTCCCACAGAAGGCTGTTGCTGATGGTATCCGGTCAATGAATGTTGAGCAGACAACTGTTTATAAATACTTGTACCTTCTTGATGATGGTCACGATTTTACTCTTATGACTTGTTGCATGCTAAGAATCGTCGACCAAGAATCGAAGTTTTCTTTGGCAGCCCTACACACAGGGCTTAAAACTCAGCCTGTAGCTGTCCTACAGTTACTGCCGGCCTCAAGCTCTGGTAAAGAAGGAGGGTTGGGTATGAGGTCAGCAACCCCATCCTGTAGAAAAAATCTTGCTAAGTGAACGTCAACCAGATTCTATACAATAGATTAGTAATATTTAAATGTCATTATTAACATTGCCCAAAATTGAAATATGAGTATTCTCCTTTTTTATATTCTTTGACATCTGAAATCATTCATAACTAACGTAAATTAAGTATACTCGAAATACTTGGTCAAATGTCAACATTAATTCTTTCTATAATTTCATATTATTCAATAAATACAATATAATTTATAATTCAGCTATTTATGTAATGTATAAATGTGATGATAAAATAAATAAATTAAATAAAGCTTATATTTATTAAAACAAAACACGACTTTCAAAACTCGAAAATTGTTTTTGGTAGAGTTTTGTTCTCTGAGCTCGATGGTTTGGTCATGGAGCTTTCATCATTCTTCTGAACGACATCATCAGCACAAACTTCAGGTAGAAGTGAAGTGTTCTAATTTCTCCATATGTGTTTCATAGCTTGTTCTGTGCACTTCGATGTTGATTGGTTCTTTTTGACCTTAAATTTGTTATTGTTTACTTCTTTGTTTTGGTTATGTCTCCCATTGGTTTGATTTTTGTTCCTATATTTGTGCTACAAGTCTTCTCCACCATCTCGAAAATTGTTTATTTTAAATTATAAATAAGATGAAAAGTTTGTAAACTTGTTGTTTCCCGAAAATAGTAATAAGAATTGGCATCATCTAGACTATCGTTAAAATTGAAAAAATTCTGTTAATTTGTGATTTTTCAACAGTACATACATTGACTTCAAGTCTCATAAAGAGTGTATTACTTTCAGAACATCTCGTTAAATTCAACGACAATATTATATCTATCAATTTATGATATTGTAAGACCAACATATAGTTGTCACCTACTTTAGATATATGTTAGCAGAACATATGAAACAAACGTAAAAACCTTTTTCTCGAAAGGCGTAACAGAACGTCATTAACTGTTAGGTTATTAAAAAGAGAGTTAACACAGTAGTAAACGAGAACATACAATTGGGAACAACCAAATGTGTTTGAATATGAAATTACAGAACATCTTAGTAAAATTTGACAACCATACAATAAATACTTCATTTTCAAAATATCAATCAATTGTCTGAGAATTGATTGTTCCTTCGTTTGCACACCTATCATTCTCTGTTCTCTTTCTCTTTTCTTTGATCTTCTTAACCGTCTGCCTCCAGGCATTTCACTTTCGATTGGTGACACGTACAACTTATACCTATCAACATCAGTAGCACACATCACAACACTACATGTTTGAAAAATCAACGTTAATAAACGCTTACCTATTCATTTAAATGATGAAAACCACTAGTAATTTCCCATTGTTATTGATAGTTATTTAGAAATGTCTTTCTATAAGTGTTGATGTTTTCATTGTATCAGGTATGGTTTGATCAAGACAATCTGAAATATGCTGCAAATACATTTAGAAGTATGGCTGAAGCCATAGAAAGATCTTATGCTGTATGTATTATATATTCCGAAAATTATAAAAATAGCGAATATGCTGAAATGGGTAAGTGGAATTAATTTTAAAATATAAACAAATGCAATGAGTACAGTTCGATGTATTTTTCCTTGAACACTAATATTATCCGATTGGTTAAACCAAGATCCATTGGTTACTACTTTTACCTTTTGATTGGACAGTTGAATGTGGACAATGCTTAACACTTTATAACAATTCTTATTGAAAATAACATATAACTATTACATAATGTGCATTAAAATATGAGATTGATACATCAATATAATACTTACCAATGATATACCAAAAAACTATTATTCAGGTTACTACAATTATTACGATTAGTGTTTTAGAATTTAAACCATTATAATCATCTGTATATCGATAATTGTGAATATTTCTTTAATAGCTATAGTGTTTCTACCAGTAATTGTCTTTAGAGCACATCATTGTACGTAATCTACCCGATGAAACTTTGTTTAATGGTCATGGCAACTTTATATGATTTGAAGAATATGCACTGGTTACAAGCTACATATTTTAAACGCTCATACTACCTTCCATTCCCATTGAACCAAATATTTTTGGAAGCCATCGTAAATCAGAATTTACAGTTATTTCATCGTTTTACACTCAATTAAAACCACGTTCTTAAATTTTTGAAATCGTTCCTCAAGTGCCGCTTATGTCCACAGTAGCTGCCAGTACTTACGGATGCTTCTTTTTAAGGAATTACCAGACCTCATTATCAAGTACATGTATTAAAGAGAATATCTTACTACCAAAGTATATCTAGTTACGAAATTCTTAAAAATTGGTATCATCATTTTCATAATTGTTCAACCTAGAATAAATTACTCCATTCATTTCTCTAAAGATAGTTGTAAATAGTTTACATCAACTCAAGCATTTACAAAACAATGTAAAAAACTTTGTGTTTGTTCAGTTGTAATAGCACTTACTATTAGTAACAATATAATGAGCACACAAATAAACTCAATTTTAGCATCTCAAATGTATTGGTTCCTAAATGATCTACGAAATACAAATCCAATATTTTTAATGTTTTCATCAAGTTGTGGTCCTGTTTATTTTGAGTCGAAGATTTTGTAAATGTCCACGTCATTAAGTTATACAGTAAAACCGTAATTTTGCTCCACAGTTATTCCTTGTCATAATAATCTTTCATTGCGTGCTTGCACCAGTTATTTGGATTTGTGTGAAATCACTATCCAACCACAGTCAAGTCCGACAATTCGCCAAAAGTATTCCATAATATAAGCAATCTTTTGACTGTTTTAACAAAAATTCGTTTCACAAAAAATCTAATCTATTTTTACATTCGGCTATTAGTTATTTCAACATATATTCAAAGCATGATATTATGGATTAAGTTTGATATAACAACTGTAGAAATCACAAGGCAATAGACACTTGTTTTGACGTAGTATGAGACACCTTGGAAGTGAGCATTCACAACTTCAGCAAAGATATGAGCCAGGACTTTCAGACCTTGTCTAGTTACCATTGTAGCGAACAAGAACACCAGTGGGGACAATCGAATGTATTTGTCACAAAATTAGAGGACTTGTCAATAAAATTTTACAATCGAATAATAAATACATAATTTGCAAAATGTCCATCAATTATCTCATAACGACTCAGACTTCATTGTTCTTGCATTTTCGTACAAATCACATTCTGTTTCCATTCTTTACTGTTCGATCCTCTTGTTTCTCTGCTGTCAGACCTTCTATTCACGACTAATATCATCTACTACTTATGTCAATGTAAGTAGCACACACCACACCGTCAGAAGGAATCATATAAAATCTTATCAACTATATTTTTCGATTAGACGGCTGAAGCATAAATTTGGTTACCATTTACATTTGAAATGTTATTAAATTGCCAAAATTGCCTTAGATTCTACACTTACTGACTTCTTTCTGTTAGCTTACACAGTTGAATCCGAATAACCATATGCAGTTAATTCATTGTTTTTAAATGACTGGATAAATAGGCAGTAGCTATTTTAAAAGCACGACTGAATGTTGAAGAATAAAACATTAAATATTATCTAGTAATGTCCAGTTTTAACTCTTAGGTTTTATTTACTATGAAACTACAAATGAACGTTATACTTAAAAAAAATTGGAACAGTTCATAGTTATCAATGTGGCAAAGTATTTTAATTTTCCGGTGTTAAGTAGATAATAAATCTTTTTTTTATTGAATAGAAGCAACATATGCAGTTTGTTTGAAAAAACTAATTATTTGTTTACGTGCACAACGTGACTACAAACCAATGGGTTGGCTAGGTCTTATAACTGCCCGAGAAAATCGTATTGACATTTCTGGAAAGTATCCATTTGATGAGTATTTTTCTACTTTATGTCGAAGAATCGATGAATGCATAAAAATCAAAACGGACCATTGTAGTTGATCACGTAAGTCATATCATTGATCAGTTATTATTCATCATAATTATATTTTTAAATTAAAAGCAACGAAACCCTAAAAGACTTTTATATCACAGTTGAAATCAAAGTATATATATATTTTGTATTTTTCAAATGACGAAGATCAACATAGAAACCAGTATAATTTGAAAATGATTTTTGTTACGAACTAAATTCAAATAGAAAACCATTTAGATATAAGAAACATTTAACAGCTGTTTCATTCCAGTATTGAACTTCAAATTAGTAAGCACTGGTATCTTAGATACAATTAGAACCGAAAGCATTCATTTTTCACAGATATCACTGTTTTCTTAGGTCAATCATTTAAAATTTATTGATTTTTATTTACAGTTTAAATCACTTTATGATGAACGCGTCAACTATCCGATATTGTTGGTAACATTGTTTTCCATTTTCATGTTAATGGACATCATCACTTACGGCTTCCTCTTGAAACATAGGAAATTGTGCATGTAGCTAATATGTATTGAGCATATAATCTTTAGCGATTCTAAGAATTTCTTCAAATTGTTAATTTTACTGAAAAATCATTTAAAACCAGTGATTACTAGACAGTTATTTTGTTGTGATTCCAGACTTCTTAAATCCGTAAACCAAATACGCAACTGAAATTGGATTTCAAGATCTTGAAATATTAAAGCCAGAAATTCAGGAACAAGTTTTTAATCAACACTACTAAAATGAGATATTTTTTAACCGATATTATCTAAAGAAATATGTTATCTTTTAGTACATTTTCACGGAAGATCGTTTTGATGATTATATAGTAGCTTTTAAAGATTTTATAATCAGAGATGGATGGTGACTAATGGCAGAATCCAGGACGCACGTTTCGCTTTATTTGAAACTCGACAGATGAATAAACCTGCATTAGAGAGCCGATGCTCACTCTGGGACTAGAACTGACTACCGTTCATTTTAAACGCCATCGCGCCATACACTTATTTATTGAGTACGGATAGCCACTAGCTTGTGCGATGGGGTGAAGTTTAATTCATTTTTGGATTAATTGTTTGAATCTTTCCACTGACGTTTAGGACTACAGTTGGCTATCTAGACTCAGTAGTTTATTGGATAGTGCGACCACGTTTAAAACAAACGGTACCGGGTTCGAGCCCCGGAGTAAACATCAACTTAGGGGTGCAAGTACCAAGAACATGCAACTGACGAGTCCAAAATGGGGCGAAACGAACATTCTGGATTCCACTGCTAGCCACCAACCATCCCTGCCTATAATACTTGTGACCCAAATTAATATCAAGGTGACACTCACATGATGTACAAATGTCAATGGGTGACTGATCAATCACAGTCTGAAACATCAATGAGAAGATCCAAACATCCAATTGAAAAATGAGTTTTTATTGACTTTGTTCGTTAACAGTAGTTTATTTTCTCCAATTAGTTTGAGTTTATTTTGTTTCAGTTGTTCAACTGGTATTTTGAAATGATTTAAGTACTTTGTCAATCTTTTAAAATCATGCAATATTATTCATTTGTTGGCTGCAATCTTCTTCATTATTATAACAATATGAAAGGTAGTCCCGGTTATAAATATGCATTTCATTTCAAATAAATATTTCTATCTGATTTTGTTGTGTACAATAATTCTAAATAGAAGAACTCTTGAAAGATCAAGAATTGAACTGTACTTCATAGTACTTGAATGTCATTTCCAGTATTTCCAGACAGTCAGAACGTGAACAGCAATAGAGTTCAGAAAGCGCTTTCATACTATTTAGTACTAATCAGCTCAATGTACCTCCATCTCAGAGTTGGTGTTCACTCCGAGTATCAAACACTAAGAAATGTGGGTCCTGGATTACACTGGTAGCCATGTCTCATCTTTTTCATGGGAACTTGTATTACAGTAGCTATATCGAGGCAGTCCATATAGGATGCTTATATGCCACATGGGAAAGCACAAATTTCAGTTAACATTTCAGCAACAGGATAATCTAATCCATTTAAATGTGAATGAAAAAGACATTTAGCAGCAGGTTTCAGAACACTTCTGTGTATTTTGTAGATTAGTCAAAGAACTGTATAAGAACACTTTTCCTATTGGTTTCCAAATATTAACAAGATTTAATGGGCTTCCGTCAACCTTTCTTCAAATAGAATTTATTCACAGACTTATAAGTATTTTTAGTTGGGGATTCAGAATACATACACTCATTTCACTAAACTTCGTACTGATTTATAACATAGCACTTTAGAAAATACAGTTGTTAGAGGAATCATAGTAATATAAAGACATTAAATGAATTTTCCATTTAGATTGATTATAAACATCCAAGAACAATTGTTGTTTGATACTAATCTAAGGAATGCGACGTCTTGTTTAAGCAATTTCAGTGTGTGCTACTTATGTGAACAGATATAAGAAGTATATATCAAGAATTGGAAGTGGAATCCTTATCAACAAAAAACTGAACTAAAGAGAAGAAATAAAACAGAGATCAGTTAGAACACTACAGAATTGGAGGAACGATGGAGATGTGCAGATGAGGATATGCAAATAATGTATTTAATGTATGATTTCAATATTTTACAAAGGCACTGTGTAACTTTTTCCGAACATGACATTGTTTTTACCTAATTACTTTTCGCTCTCAACATAACCATCGCTCTCACGAGCAATCAGTTGTAGTCATTAACATCACAGACGAAATTATACAGACGTGTACAGTTCAGTTCATCCCCCCTCGCACATATTAGTATCTAGTTAAACTCAGAACTTAGTGAACAACGGGTTTATTGTTTGAAACCATAAGTACTATGTTCGATACCAGTGGAGAGCCTTGATGTTGAAATGTGTTAGGTACACCTAATTGACGAGTCCCAAGTAGGATAAACCATTCATCTTGGATTCCACTGTCAGCCTCTATCGAATGTGACTAAAAACGTGTGAAGAGATGTTAATATTAAGGCAACTTGCTCAATTTAGACTGGTTATTTGTAGTTATTAACACTGGCGATGGGAGAATACAAACCATTTCAAATAACAAAGACATTGTGATCAATGAATTCTCAAGTTTATTATTTTCGTTCATTTCCAGAAATATTTCTCGATTTAATCTTGACGTGATTTCGGAATGGACGAAAGAATTTTACACTCCTGGCAACAAATAACCTCTAAACATAACTCACAGTGTGTATAATCAAATTCAAACTTAAAACAAATGTGAAGATTGTATGTTTTTGATTTGATTTTTTAAATGACATTGTAAACTACGTATGTACACTGCATACATTTCAGTTATCTCTATGCAAGGAATTATGAGAGTGTACAGTTCCATTTATTTTAAATCTTCTTGGTGGAATGCTCATGGTTTACTAGATTTCATTCTTTATCTTTTATTTACTTATTGAAATTTCTATTTTACTGATGATTTCTTTCGAAAAATTTCATTACTTTGTTTAAAAAACAAAATCAGCTTTCTTTATCTTGGCTCATCCAAGTATCATTGTTAAGCACCAGTGAAAAAGGTATATGTTACATTGCATTTAATAGTGTTATGTCTACAAATAACATATTTTGAGAATGAAGCATATTTGGAAGAATTTTGTCATGATAATGTAACTGTTGAAGTGTAACTTTTATCCCATATTCTAAATTAAACAGTTATGGCTTATAAAAATTGATCCGTTGAATGTTGTTCAGTCCAAAATTCTGTAATGCTTCCAACTAAACATTAAATATTTTGGTGACAATTCAAATGTTTTCATGTTTCAATAAAAAAAAGGATGAGAATATTCTTAGAATAAGATGGTTTCAATGGACGTTGTTACTTTTGATCCGTCTACAATGTACAATTTGATAAGTTTAATTGATTCAAGCAACTAAGATGTTTGGAATGTTTAAAAAAAGTACTTGATACCAGGATAATGTAAAATCATTTATAAAACGTATTTATAGTAAGGCGCCTGTTTGAATGTTTCAGACGGATATTTTTATAGATAGTTGAAATAATAGTTCTAGAATAATATCACACAGTATTAACAAAGATACATAAGGAATATACAATAATAAAAAGGAATCATCAATAGTCATAAATAAATCATTGAATAACAGAAGTGTAATATGTAAGCTTATGTTTACTGTTGTTCGTTGTAGAACTTTTCAGTCTGTTGTGTAAAGTAACCTTGTATCTAGTTCAATTAATTTAGATTTATGTGAAACTTTACTCATTTTTTAATTCATTTTAAACTAGACCTCATTTTTAATTTCCATCTATCGCTGTGAACAAACAAATATGTAATTTCACAGATTGAAATTTGGAGTCAGTTGAACCTAGACCACTATGGAAAACCTGTAAGCACTGAACGGCCGTTTCCTCCTAGTATGGGACTCCTCAACAGTGCGCATCCACGATCCCGCACCCCTCGAGATTCGAACCTAGCTACCATCCTTGTTTTTTTCTTCTGAATAAAACATTGGTGGTTGCTGTGACACTTTTATTATCTAATTCTACTGTCTATAGTGTATATTCAATGTCAGTTTATGAAGAAGCTTATCATTAATTGGATTTGATCAAGTTTATTTTATATTGGTGTTAGGTTTTCCCATTTGTGTTAAATGGAATTAACAAAACATTCTAGAAAAATCATTTTTTGACTATGGACTATCGTATTACATGATCGAGAATGTTTTTTAAATGATTTCTTTCACTTTGTATAGACATATTCGTACTGTTCGATAGACGTTTATAGAACTAGGCGAAATATTTTATTATAAATAGAAAAACACAGACTGCCTAATAGACATACAAACTGTTATCGATTATGCGAAGATAAACAATTCCCCATAAATTATTATGATCTTACAAGTTAATCAATAAAATAGATGTAAAAACGACGTCAAGGGAAATTAGCCAATCAAAATATTGAAAATAAGTATGATACTACGTATGAACTCGTAATGAAACAATCTGTTTACCGAATTGAAAACGGGAAATTCTTTTGAAAGAACAGTAATATTCACTGATGAAATTCTCAGATAGGTTCTTCACCAATTGGGATGTGGTTCGTAAAAATCAGGACATGAGTTGATAAGAGGAAAACATGAGAGCGTATTATAGATACATGTCTAAAAGAATATTTATGCAATATTAGTAGAAACCAGTATAATGCATCTAATTATCATTTGAGTTCAAATTCTGTCAATCAGATTTCAACTTACTTCGTGTAACTCAGTAAAATGTCCTTGAATATAAGATTCTATGAAACCGGTATTTATTTGAAGGTTTTGTTAGGATTTCAAATATTGTAAAATTTAAACACAAGAGTTTTTGATGACTATGTTCCAGTATTCAGCATCAACGTTACTGGTTCGTGTATGGTTAGTTGATTGAACTTGATTTGAATATTTCTTCAAATTTTATCTTCATAATAAACTTGATTCATACTAGAAAAATATTAACAATATGCTATATAAAATCGTAGTGTCATGATAAAAATTCGAATTAATGTATGAGGTTGTGGTGATTATTAAGTTTTAATTGAGATCATTAGCTGATCAGTGATAGACCACCATTGATAATTTGGAAGCACTGGACGACTATTTCGTTCTAGTATTGGACTTAGCAGTGCTCAATTAAAATCTAACAATCTCTACAACCTTATACTGATAATTATCATGTACTCACTAGTGATCAGCTTCGGAAGACAATCCATGGAGTTCTAGTGGGAAGCAGTAACCAGTGAAGTTCAGCTGTATCGTAAGAATCAGTTATCCACCGAAAGCAATAGAAGATGGTTGCGCAATTTCGTGGATCGGTTAAAATTAGACATTAACACCATTAGATGTCGACTCAGTGGTCTAGAAATTAGGGGTTCGCGCCCGAGACCGGAAGTCCTGGGCCTGAGTCCCGCGTGCGGAATCGTGGATGCGCACTTACGATGAATACCATACTGGGACAAAACTGCCTTCCATCACTTCCATGTTTTCAATGGTGGTTTAACAGTGATCTGTTTATGATCTCAACCTAATCAAGGTAATTGATCTGTACACAAGCACGTCTTGCTGAATATCGATCAACTCTAAGTTTAAAAGTATCGATGTAAATAGAACCAACTTCTGAATAGTTAGTACCAATTTAATAAAAAAACGTGATAAGGTTTTCTAATGAATATGTTTCAAGATTCTACTAATTTAAATTAACTAACCATTTGACCTGAAAGATAACAAATTCAAGTTAATGAAAATGATGTATGAAATATTTTGATCATAAATGAAAGAGTCAAGAGAAATATAAAATATTTATATTAAAGAATAAAAACGAAACTTAATTTTATGGCCACTAATCTGTTCAAGCCAAAACTCATTGTTCAACAATGTAGATATCTTCAAAATTTGCCATTGTCATCTTTAGAATAACTTCAGTTCTATAATAACATCTTTTTTAGCTATGATTAAGCTAATACAGTTGACTTATATTGTATTTAAATTACCTGTAAGATGTATTCTTCGAAATGCATTAACACTGAATAAGTCAGGTTCGAATCTCGAGGCTACCATTAGCTCCCTCAAAATTTTTGACAATTAACTGATAGTGCGACATCGATGAGTGAGCAACTTCTTTCATTATCAGGATTTCTTCTTCATAAGAAATCAAGATCTACACTGTAATTATCTTGTTACCACAATCCTAACGATTTTACCAGCAAAACAGATTTCGACAAAAGAATTAGTAGTTACATTAAGGAATACCTAGTTCATTATGAATGCTTAGAATAGAATAAGGGATAATCAAAAACTATTTTAAACATCGTGAATAACTTTAGTTATTATGTTCCAGTAGATTACTCAGTTAGCTTTGGCGGTTCCGAAACAGGTTACAATGTGTGTTTATTGAAAACCATCAATAACCTAAATCCCATATTCCCATATCTCCATATATCTTCCATATGAACATGTAAACTGGATATAAATAAATCTGTAGTTCTCTTTAAAAAAACAAGAATAATTTGTCTTTGTTTATCAGAACACTAATTGATCATTAAAAGTCAAAGTTTAACTCAGTTTCAATTGACTATCAGTGATCTCAGAATGTAACAAGAGTTAATCACTACAGCATGGTTGACTCAATGGACAGATATGAGAAAGTGACACTTAAATAAAAGAAGTAACATAAATTGATAAGCATATATGAATGACTTTCTTATGTGAAAACAAGTGTATAGAAAGATTATCTCAAAGCTGATTTCTCAACATGTCTCTGATGTCTCTGCATGAATCTAAAAAATATTAATTATCAAAAATAAACAGTTTAAAACCATTTAGGCGGGTGACTAGGACTCAATTATCTAAATTATATTTCGTCGGTAATAAGATCTTCAATTACATTTCTTTAAAACTAGAAAGCATCCATCAACGTTAGAAGGGTATCATTTGATTTGGTAATGATCTTCAGGTAGAAATTGTATATATTAGAAAATTATAAGTAATCAACAAACTGTCGTTTAAGTAAATGCATTAATTCAAAAATGTTAGAACATAAAAGTGTACTTCATAGGTTAGATATCCAACTAAACCATTACTATTATTTCTTGTTGATACTTCTTGATAACTTTGACGGTTTGCTTAAATATCTGAGCTACCTGTTCCTGATATCAACATATCTCAATAAGTTACATGTTTTCTGTTTGCTTTTTACACATCATTATGTTTGTTAATTGTATAACCTAATTAATCGCGTTTATGAAAAGTTTGCAATATTTCGCCGTACAACTTCCAAAAACGTACAATCAGAGATATTGTGATAGATGTCACTATGCATTAAAACGAATGATCATTATTCAGATATCGATTCCTGAACTGCAGACATCTAACTGGCAATCACTCAATATTTATCGTCAGGTTAGATGAAGAAATAAGGAAAGAGAACTTGTTGAAATACTTTGTTCTGAGAATTCTAGATTGAATAATGCTATTAGTGATAATAATAATAATATCATGAATGGTTGTACAGCACACTAGATGGATATACTGAACCATATAAATAATACAATATTTTCTTTAATTTTTTCCTCATTTAACTCAATAAGTAACAGTGATAATTTGACAAGATCTACAGCATAAACCAAACATTTATTCATAATAAAAATCTTGATGGAGTTTTGTTCTTTGAGATGGATAGTTTGGTCGTGGAGCTTTCATTGTTCTTCTGGATGACATCATCAGCACAAACGTCAGAAACTTCAGACTTCTATATGAAGTGTGCGCTGATGATGTCGTCTAGAAGAACAATGAAAGCTCCACAACTAAAGTATCCATCTCAAAGAACAAAACTCCATCAAAATCATCCACCTAAGCTACAAATCTTCTCCATCACCTCAGAATAAGAATAAATTATTTATAAGACTTCATTCATTTCTAAAAAGAACACCTAATATCATACCAGGATTCAAGACTATCATCAGGTGACTCAAAATTAAAAGCCAGCAATCCAATAGTATATATATATGAAAATATATTTTTGTTAAAGTACTAGTTCCGTGAGGAAATATGAACAATGAATAATCAAGATGACATAATAGAAAGATTACAATACTATATTAGGTAATACGTAATGTTTAAATGGGAAATTATCTGTCTATAAGAATAATGCAGTCTAGTTTAGAAGAGCTGAAGAAAACAATTCAATATTTTATGACAAGAAAAAAATAACTCTCAGATGTAAACAGTAAAATTCAAATGTCAAGAAAAATCCAATTTGAACATTTCAACAGATCTCAACAACATTGACGTTAACAGTCAAGAAACAAAGACTCATCCGGGTGGAGATTACAATATTCTATTCATCATTTATTTGTAGTTCATGCAAAATAATGTTCATTCAATATCATTTTTGTATTCACTAGCCCTCATTTGTGATATAAGAAAAAAGGTAATATGAATCAATAAATAGGAATATGTAAATCACAGATATCCAGAACATTTTAATGAATTAAGTAGTATAATGAAAACAGTGAAAGAAAAATACAAACAAGTAACTGAAACAGTATTATTCATTACGCTTTATGTTTATTTGAATTCTATTTTCGAATGATTTCCTTCCCTTTTTTTCTAGGATCAATTACGTAATAATATTTTGTTATTCATACTTTGTAAGCAACATGAACCAACTCAATGTTTACACATTTAGGTAATTGAATTGGTATTCTATAAAAAGAAAAATTTGCAAATAAAAATTATAGTGTAATAGATTATGTCATAAAAGATATGTAATTCTTATCAGAATGGGTTATGTAGAGATTTTATAGAAATTTCACTTGTTGAAATCATGAGTCAATTGAAGCTAGACATTAACGCCGTTGGATGCTGGCTCAGTGGTCTAGTTGGTTAAGCGCCTGACGCGAGACTGATAGGTCCTGAGTTCGAGTCCAATGGGGTGCGGGATCGTGGATGCTCACTGCTGAGAAGTCCCATACTAGGACGAAACGGCCGTCCAGTGCTTCCAGGTTTTCCATAGTGGTCTAGCTTCAATTGACTCATGATTTCAACAAGTGAAATATGGAATTCTGTTAATTATTATGAATATGAAATAGAAAATATTAGAAGCTCACAAGTTATATTTTTTCGAATTATCTAATTGTATTCATATGTTACCTGTTAATTGAATTATGTACAATTGATGAAGTAGTGAATGTTCATTAGTTGAGATGGCTGGTACATGTGCTACATATGCCCATCCATCGACTGCTTCGATGTGTGATGTTTTATGGTGTAGGAGTAGGTTGGAAAAAAGCTAGGGGCGGCCAGACTAAAACATGGCACAAATCAATAAAGTCACTGACAAGTGGACTGAGCCATGTTGGTAGGTGTAGACTACCTGCTTTGGATTCGCAAGACGATAGCAACCGACGGTTAGAGACCTTGAATGACATGACTCAAAATCGTTTGCAATGGCTCAGGTGCATCCATTCTTTATGTTCTCACAAATTCCAACCTTCTGAATCTTCTTCCAAATATATTTCGCTGGTTTATACTCCTTGAATAACATCTTCAAACCCTAATCTTTCTGATTACTGTTTATATGTTTACTACCTCTACCACTACGTGATTTGAATCGACAATTGTACCTCTGTGCTAATGTGGTATGGCAACTCGAACTGGTGTACGTATGTACTTAGTTCTACGTTGTTGTTGACCGAACTGACTGACTGACAATAGAAAGTCATCATACGATTTTAATTGTCTTCATTCAAATTTAAGTAAATGAGAACGTTGAGAATCCTTTAGATAATATTTTAATTCATTTATTTATGATTCAGAACAACATATATAAGTGAACAATATTGTTTTAGATTAGATCCTCATCAAGCTTCACTGTAATATACAGTAATATTGATATGTATATAGGAACTAGATGATAAACTACATTTCCTTGACCTTTTATTAAACAGAAAAGAAAATGGTCCTATCAGTAGAAGTGTGTATAGGAAACGTTCTTCATCAAGGCAGTACACATATTTCTTGAGCTCTGTACATCTTCAATGTAAAAGAAGTCTAGTGCAATGTCTTGCAAACGGAGCTCAAAAGAAATTAGAGCTCATACATAATATGTTGATTGAAATGGTTTATTCACAAGGTTTCCTTAAGAATCACTTGCCTGTAACAAATAAAAAAATAAAGACATCATCAGCTAGTAAGAAACCTCTCTTCCTGAAGCCGCAATTCGAAGGAGGTATAGCTGGTGGTGTGCTACGTGATTATGGACTGACTAGGGCAGTTAAGAGAACGTTTAGTGCAACCAACCTCTCTCTATCGTATTTGATCCGATCTATGGCGATTCCCCAACTAAATGATAAGTCACATGGTTATGCCACTTCCATGTGTATCTACGAATTCAGCTGCTCCTGTGGAGAAAGCTATATTGGGCGCACTATCAGACACCTGAGCCAAAGAGTTATTGAATACCTCCCTACGTGGTTAGGAGAAGATACTTTCAACACAATGCGCGGCTCGGTTCTATCATACTTGATCGATGGCGGTCATGTAGAAGACAGAAATAAGTTAGTTTTTCTTATGGGGTTTGATCTCGACTCTAACATATAGCGAAAGCAATGGGAATTCGAGCCAACAACCCAAGTGTTTGTGTTCATAAAAAGTTTGTAACACCTTTTTCTCTTCCTTGGTCTTAATAAATGATATTGTTTACTATTATTTTACATACTTCCTCGTCATTGATTTTTCTTCACCCTCTCCTACCATTTTATTTTATTTTCTCTCAAATATACGTTTCACGGTCCAATTATCTGAACACTTCTTATTATGTCTATATTTTTCTAATTATTGACCTATTTCCCATTATGTAATATTGACTGAAGCCTTTATTATTCTTATCACAACTAGTACACATGTCATCACACTACCAATTTGTACTTTTCACTTATTATATTTAGTTATGTAATCTATTCTACTATCCCCATTGACTCATAAACTACCTTGATTGGTTTAATAATTTCGTATATTCATATCAATATTACTGTTTATTAAGAGTAAAGCCTGATGAAGATTTAATAGAAAACAGTATTGTTCACTTATATATGTCGTTCTATATCACAACGGGGTTGAGCTGTACTGTTTGGTTTGTCACGTGAAAGTCCGGATGGTGTCTGGTTCTCCTGAAAACCGATGTAAAATTACCCTGGCCCACAAGGGTATATTATATAATAACTGTGAAATCACAATATGGGTATTTCTCACAATTATTTATGATCACATAATAGGTATTTATTGAGAACAGTAATTTATATTTGTTAATTAAATATTTAACGCTATCATTTAGGGTGCCTGGAGCTCTTCTAGGATTACTACTGGGTAAGAGTAGAGTGTTGAGTATAAGATTAACCACTCTATCCTGACAAAAATAACCTTCCTATATAGTACTTGATTTACATAACCTTCTAGTGAACAATATTTTTAATTTGCTAGTGAATATTCACTTAAAATCGCTGATTATTGTGAGGTCATAAAATCTGTTTATTATAATAAATGAAAGATATTTTCAGGCTTTGTGAAAATCACTATGAAAACAGATATTGAACTGAATAGTTTACTGTCAATTAGAATCAAATGATTCGAGAATATTGGATGACGACCTATACTCCATTAGGAGTAACAGGCATAAGTAAGTAAGCAAGTAAGATTAATTATTCACCATAATCTGATTACATCGAAAAGTATTAAATGGGCAATTACAAGTATAGATATTATTCATTCGTTCACAAGTGTAATATGCTTTATGACAATTTTGCTTTGGAGTATTAACTGACAATAATTGCTTGTGCTATTCTAGTACCTTTACTCGGTTCGTAAGTAATAAAATAGCTTAACATGGCTCAGTAAATGAAAAAAGCAGGTTTTCACCATTAAATTGTTTTCATGGTTAGAAACAGTTGATCATCAAACTGATCCTTTTGTTTTTACCGGTTTCATATATATACTTTTATACGATTTATACATTAAGTAGATCACGATACTGACCTACTAATCCATCTCAAGACTGTTATTGCTTTTGCTAACCTGTGAAAACTAAAATCAATTATTATGAATGTAGTTGAGTTATAGAAAACACTCTTAGTAGTTCCATATAAAGATGAAACAGATATAAAATGCCCCTTAGTTTCCAAACGTACATCAATTGATATAAGCTTGAGACAATTATAATCTATAAATGAAATTTTCCGCAGCATTATATATTCGTTTCATGTTACTGAATGTGATATAGTTACAAAAAGAAGACATGAAATGAAACATACCACTTCTATTGGTTTATTTTGACAATGATTATTTAGTTGATCAATGGATTGTTTTTTATATACGTCTATTCTTTTACACAATTCAATAAATTTGTCTTCAAAAGGATATTTTCCAGAAATATCAATATACAATCGTGTTCCCATCATAAAACCTAACCATCCATCTGGTACATAACCTCTTTGTGCACGTAGAAATAATATTGGCTTTTTTTCATGATAAGCATATTGAGCTTCTGGAATCAAAATAAAAATAGGTTGTTCTTTTTAAATAACGAATATTCGTTAAAAAAAATACAATAAAATATGAGATAAAATATGAGATTTTGCTGTGCTGCTACTTATATTGATATAAGTAGTATAAAACATGAGTCAAGAATATAATGTCTGGCAGCAGAGGATTGAGAAGATCAAGAAGGGAAGAATGGGAATAGAAAGTAATTGGTATGGAAATGCAAGAACAATGAAGTATGAGACAATTAATGGAAATTTTGCAAATTAAGTATTAGAGGATGGTTTCTCACCTTTATTCTCGTTCATTACATTTCTACATCCTGAATTCACTGAAATCATGCAAGGGACAAAAATAAATGTGTAACCCCATGAATAAACAATAAATATTCCTTCACAATGAAAATGCAAATATCTTGTAAATTTGGCATGTGCCCAATACGTGTGTTTCTTTCTATTTAAGATTTATCAGATAGATATGCCTTTATCTAATTGTTAATGTCTATATCATGATTCAAATCCCGAGTATTTACCTTCAAACACCAAAGAATGTTGGTGAGTAAACAATGGAATTCTAAATATCAACATTTGGAAATTACAAACCTTCTCGTCAATTCGACGGTTTTGGCCTATTCTTCAAATACCAATTTGAATATTTTATTTCATAGATGAAAGTAAGATTTCATAAAAGACAGGTTTAAGTTAACCGATGTATATTAGAAAGAAATCAAACCGATGAGAGCTGCGTTTATATGAGATTTCGATAATCGACACAGTAATTCCTAACAGAGCATTGAGCTTACTAACAACTTTTAATTTGTGTCAGAACTCCAGGATATACTTAGTTCTAGTGAGAAGTAGTGACCAGTGGAGTTCAACTAGGTCTGTTGTGAGATAGTAACTCACTGAAGACAATGGTGGATGTGTCATTCAATTTCGTGGATTAGTTGGAATTAGACATTAACACTGTTGGATGCCGGCTCAGTTGTCTGGTGGTTAAGTGCTCGCGCATGAGACTGATGAACCGTGGGTTCGAATATCGCAGGGGGCGACGTCTTGGGTGCGCACTAATGAGGAGTTCCACAATAGAACGAAACGGCCGTCCAGTGCTTCCAGGATCTCAATGGTGGTCTAACTTCAACTGACTCATGATCTTAATCATTGAAATTACTATAATATCCACAAAACCCATCTGAATTTATATTATTCACAATGTCGAAAAAACATATCCTAATAGTCAATATATGATATGTAAGAACGGTATGGGAAAATCAAATGGAACTTACAATTTTTATGATTTATAGTACACTGTCTGATAAACTTATCTAATTTCATATGAATTATATTCTAATGTGAGCAATTCCTAAGAATAGAAGTTCATTTGAACACAATGATATCTACGAAAGAATAACGATCATGACCTATTCAATGGGCTTACCTTTCAAATATACACTCTTAATTAGTGTAAGTTATATTTGTACTAGAAATATCGTAGTACAACAAATATACATTCCATATTATACGATTATATGAAATGAATAGTTATCTATCCGTAAACTGTTTCTAATAAGTATCCAACAAGTGTCTAATTCTATCTTCTGATTTAGCAAAATTCAATGATTCATTAGATGCTTTACCTGTTTTAAAGAGTTAATAATGAGGAAATCTTGTTGAATTTCAGGCGAATTCTATAAACTATCTTAAAATCAACTTATGAATCATTCCTAAATGTAGGATCACTTAAATGGCCAAATCAGACCTGTAGTATTGAATATATTGAGAAAGTACTTCATTTTTTCCAAAAAGAAATAAAACGTAACTTGAAGATGAGTTTCCAAGCCGTTTCAATAGGAAGAGGATAAAGAAAGTTAGTATATGAAATCAAAAACATTTTGTCCCAAAAACTGCTTTTTTGGTCAAATGGAAATTTTACAGTTGAATTTATGAGTCAGTTCAAGCTAGACCACCATGAAAAACCTGGAAGCACTGGGTGGTCGTTTCATCGTAGTATGGGACTGTTTAGCAGTGTGCATCCACGATCCCGCCCCTTGCGAGATTCGAACCAAGGACCTGACAGTCTCGTGTGCAAACGCCTAACCTGTAGACCACAGAGTCGGCATCCAATTCTGTTAATGTCAAACTTCAACCAATACATGAAGTTGAGCCACCGTAAATCATTGTCTTCAGTGAGTTACTAACTTACCACAGATCCTAGTCTTACACTAAGATGAAACGTCCATTCAGTGCTTCTACGTTTTCCATGATGGTCTAACTTCAATTGACTCATGAATTCGACTAGTGAAATTTCTAACATCTCCACAGAACCTCTACTGATAATAAAAATGAAAACTTATTCAACTTACCACATTTTGTGTGAAGACTTTCTTTATATGATTTAGAGTAGAGAATACAAACAACATATGCATTTTCTACAGCTTTTGCCATACCCTCCATTACATCAGTTTCATACATCATATCTTTATAGTCAATCCATACCTAAATGTTTACATACATATACGTATGTAAAAAAACAATCATTACAGATGTATGACTCTTCAGTAAAATCTGTTTACATTATTTAAAATAAAAATAGATTAGCTACATTACAGTACATTATTAGCGTTTATGTTGTTTTACCGATTGGTGTATCTAATTTCAGATAAATCACTGGAATCTTGGCACTTGGGCATAATAAACATCAGAATTATTAGCTTTTACGATGTTGCAAATGTAAATTTTAATTCTATCTATTTGTCAGTACAAGATGCGGAATCATGGATACACACTGTTGAGGAGTTTCATACTAGGATGGAACGGCCATCCAGTGCTTCCAGGTTTTTTCAATGGTGGTCTAGCTTTAATTCATCAGTTCATGATCTCTATCGATTAGTCTAAATAACAGAAAATGGAAACGAATGAATGAAACATATTGGATCATCAGTTTACCAAACGTCATGTCTTGACTAATTCAAAGAAAATTTAAGAAGTAAATGTCTTTAAGTTGATTGAAACTTTTGCATGTTGGTTAGAAGTGATCACGTTAAACTAAAGCAAGCTCAGTAAACATTTAAATTTGTCCATTAGTAGCAACAAATACAAATTTAATCATCTAATTTTGAATAGATATTTCGATGGAGTTTTGTTCTTTGAGCTAGATGGTTTCGTTGTGGAGCTTTCATCATTCTTCTGAACGACATTATCAGCACAAACTTCGTATAGTTCAGAGAACAAAACTTCATCAAAATCATCCACCTGAGCTACAAATGTTCTCCATCATTTAAATTGATATCTATTTAAATGTAGTTTACATTTACAGTTCTATTCTCTTTCAATGGTACCATTAATTTTCTTTGATAAAACAATGCTCACTATAATCTGAACTTTTCATTTATCATATAGTCAATGGTTATTTCACTTAAATAAGACACTTGAGTCACAAGTAGCTTAATGATAACATCTCAGACTGGATGATTCTAGTAACTTTCCTGACAAATGTCGACCTTGTTTAAGGTTTACTTGTTGATTACCTCTTATCAAGTAACATTAAACTCTTAGATTTAATACTCCTTGCTTATGAATATCAGCTGTGGTATTGCTGAAAATAATAGAGAATGAAAATGTGTTTAATTCAGCGTAAAAATACATTTGTAATTTGTACTGTTAATGTATTTTCAGCGGGGCCCTTGAATTTTGTCGTCATTTCGATCGGACGATGTTTTCGAAAGGGCTCTCCACTTTAGTGGCTCGGGTTCTGATTCTAAGGAGATTGTAATGATGATTGTTGTTGAAATAAATATATCGCCTATCCTCGTTTATCATCGTCGACTTAAATCGCGTTAGTCAATGACGGAATTTAATAAGTCAAATAACGAGAATGGACATTTGAATACATATATTTTGTATACAGAGCGAATGGAATAGAACAAAGCAAAACGACACAGTGGAGATGGCGGGTAAGCCAATTCCCCCTTTAACCAAGCGTTTATCAATATTTATAGTTACCCAAAAGTAAATTACAGACATGTGATGAGTAATGGCATAAGAAGTGTACTCACACCTACGCGTTCATATGAAAACAGTCAAGAGTGATAAGCGAATAAATAACAAGGTCAGAATGTGACTCAAGTAGAATAAATAGAATGGGCTGTCCGAAAGCTAGAATACGGTATATGGGCTTAACATAATGACCGACACTACATATTCATTGACATCAATAATTCAGCTCGTATTATTATGTACGAAGTTGAATGAACTAGAAATAATGACATTAAATAAATTTATAAGAACGTGATAGATCATATCACCGACCATAATTCATTTACAAGGGAATCCATGTAGGTATTCAGTTAGGAGGAGATGTTCTGAGGGTTAATGATAATACCTGTCTATATAATCAAATATTTCGGTGAATAATATAATCTAACGGTTAACAGCTGAATAATTTAACATATAATCTAATAATCTAATCTATATTCACAAGTTTTAAATTTAAGGCAATACAATTTCTATTGAAATGTAGCATTTCACTAGACTGAAAACTCTAATTTAGTCTTATTTTATACAGTTTCTTGACAATAAATTTACTCTGTATCTACTATTCTTCAATATGGAGGGTTCAACTTCACCATAAAATGATAAAATAACAGTATAAGGAGTCACTACAATTGATTATTATATCGGAACATAGCTAACATTTCTTGAATAGTTAATTTGAACTTGTTAAACTACATTTCTGTTACCCTTTAATTTATTATTTTAGATATTTTATATATTATAATTATCTATATTTCCAAGCAAACATGGGTAGTGGCTTGCAGTAGAATCCAGAACGCGTGTTTCGTCCTATTCGAAACTCGTCAGCTGGATGAACCTACAACTCCGAGTTGACGTTCACTCTGAGACTCGAACCCAGTACCGCTCGCTTGAAACGTCATCACGTTATCCACTTAGCTACTGAGTTATGATAGCCACCTGCTTATGCAATGGAGTGATACAAGTAAACAATACCAAGTGAATATGTTATATTTGCATTACGAATACTGTTTATTTTCATAAAGCTTGTCATCGAAAACGATTCTCAAATCTTATTGATTGTTTAGTAATTCTGATACTCATTCTTATAAAATTACTGAATAAAACAAATATTTGAGTAGCATCAACAACTGATGACAATCATGAAGTATTAAAAACGATTATTTGTTTAATTATGAAGTATTTGCCCATTTACAACTACATATAAGAGTCCACTTAAAACATTTAAATCTAAATGGTATTTGTGTCATTTGTTTTAAAACAATTAGATCACGACTATCAGTGGAGTTCAGGATATGTGTTTTGGTCTATTTTTCAGTCGTCAATTAGATACTTTTACACCTCATTGTTGATAATCACAATAGGAATCGAATCCAATGTGTTTTACTTTAAACAGTAACTGATTACAATTATCATGTAATAGATGGAATATAAATAGTAGTAATGTCTAAGACATTTCTATTTGGCTCTCATCAATTAGATATACCTGCAACTTAGAGATGATGTTTGCTCCGGAACTCCAACTCAATACCTTTCAATTCATAAAAAGATTCAATACACAATGAACTTCTGACTTCAACGGGACCATTCAGACCATTATAAATTCCATTCAGAACATTGATTTAATACAAACAAAAGGAACTATGTTTACCATTGATCCTATATCTATAAACTAGTGAGTTTAATAGATAAAAAATAGTAAATAAACGAAGAAAACAAAACAAAACAAGCCTTATCTCATATCACTTCAAATAAATAACAAATAACTTTACCTTGTAACCTTTATTTTCTAGTTGTTCACTTAAATACATTGCCATATCTTTCTCTTCATGACTATAACTAATCAATATATGTGGTATTGTATCCACTAAACCTATATTACTTTCATTATATATAAGCCAATCAGTTTTATTCTGAACTTGTTCATTGTTTAATGATGTTTCAACAATATCCTTTGCATCATTATCATTAATAGTTCTATTAGGGAATATAACTTTTCTTGAATTGGTTGTGATATACTTTCTAATTAATTTCATTGTATCAATAAAATAAAGACATAATAGATAAGTAAGCATTAGAAATCTTGTCATGTACACAGTGATGCTTAATGATCAAAGGAGACATTCATTTGAAAAAGTTGAAGTTGATTCAAATACATTCTTTACAGTTTTATATAAATGGATTGTTGGCAAATAGTCTAAATTTATATTTTCAATGAATAAACCAGTCTATATTTAGATTAGATTGAGAGATTCATGCCTAAAATAGATTACCAATATACATAATTGAATAATAATCATAATCGAGTACTAAGGAAAGTTTATTGCGTCATTCAAAAGCTAAAAATGAAAAAGATATATACATATTGATAAACTACAATAACTTGGGATCTTCATTCTGAAATTTTGTTGTATATTCGTAACTACTTAAAAATAATAAGTAGCATAACTATTTTTGATAAAACTGTTGGAGTGGGTTGTGTCTCATTATGAATTAATTTTAAAAAAACAACATCTAATTAAGCTTATAGCTTATCAGTTATTCAGTTTAAATGAAAACAGGTGGTTAGTTTTGTCTTCCTGGCTGACACAATGATGATTCGTAAATATTAAACGTTTCTTAATCTAAACAGTTATAAAATTAACAGGCTAATATCGATACCATTTCTAAGCGTGATACAGTTGATTAAGTCTTAATTGACTATAATTAGACATATGCGTTCTTGTTCATTTGTTGACTTCAAAAAAATAAATATATTTCAAATTTAGCAGATATATGCTACTTATGAGTAAGTCAATCATTTGCCTTCTTTTCAGTCCATATCGTCATTTGACGCATGTAAGAGATGATCAGTCACTCAATGTTGATCTATCAATCGATTATTTTTAGACAATTGTGGTTCAAACTTGACTAATTGTTTGACTGATCAATTTTTCAGAACGTATGTTATGAACTCATTGCTTATCCATCAAATTAACAGCTGTATTATTTACAAAAGAAGACATCAAACAACATGGCTTGTTGACTGATTGTATACTGTAAGAAATTAAATCGATGTTTTGTATCTAAAATATGGGATTTAATAGTTGTATCCATGGAAGTTTCCAGATAAAAAGGGATTAACGAATGATAAATATGGATATTTTTCAGTTTGCACATCTCACTGATACATAAAGTTGATGATTATGCACAATGTTATTCGATGCTTAAGCGTTTATTATCTGTTCAAAGAAAATGCAAAATCTAAGGCTGTTTTATAGTGATACGCCTTAAGCCATTCTTGTCGCTGACTTCACTTATACACCCAATATGATTAGGTTGATATTTAATTTTTATGAAGTGAAAGTCTTGTTCAGTGACTGAACTGAAATGTATTTTGATTTGAGTATATTTCATTTCAGTAACTTTTTTGTTTCCATTTTAGATACAGTTTATTTAGAGAATTCTTGTTTTGATAAATAAATGCTTGAACAAGCCTATGTTATCCAGGATATAAATCATTTGTATAAAATTTATTCGCATGATTCTGATTCGACAGATGAATTATGCGCAAAAACCCGGCAAATATTGCGAAAGACAACGATTACAATAATGGTTTCAAACCTCAAATGGTAAAGTGGCCAAAAATAAACAACACGTAATTGAAGTCAAACGTAGTATATAGACTTTTCAAGGAATGGACAAATACAAAAGGTTGCGAAAGCAGAAAAATTAAGGAGGATAAAAGCAAAAATTTCCCATCACAAATATAAAAATAAACCAGAAAGATAGAAACTGGAATCCCACTTGTACAGGAATAAAACTGTTTAAACAAATCAGGTTACTGAGTAACATTAAGTAGTATAAAATATTAAACAAAAATGGTAGCTAACTTACCAATTCAATATTTCAACCTGTAATTTATTAATTCATTGATTTGGTAACAACATCATGCGTAAGTGTATTAACGCCATAGTGCAAAATAGACGTTAGTTTATAGAATTGGATAATCATTATTCAGCATCGTATAGAGACAAAAGTTGGGGACGGGGATCTGGTTCAGTGGACTAAAATGTTAATCATGGTATGGAAATCGAAATGATTAAATTCCAGTTTTTAAGTGAGTTCCTGTAGAAAATATGCTTTTACAACAAGTTGATTAGAGTTAGGATTTCAGATTGAACATTTTCACACGAGGTGGGAGGCTTGAAAACGGATAGGTTGTACTTTATTGAAAGCTGAGTACAACATGCCTGCATTTATTTACTTGGATCCTTAAAACTGTTAATATGGTTAACACAAACAAATGAGAAAGGTGTTTTATAAATTCACTGACGTAGCTTGAATGCTTTCAAAAGAATAAAGGATCCGGCAACAAATGAAGAAACGACCGATTCTGAGGGAATTCCTTAGATGTCTGTTCCCTTTACCTACATATATACTTGCTTCTTTAAAACGTATCCGTCAACCCCCGAAGTTGTCCTATGTTCCCACCAAAGATATTTATCGTTCTTCCTCTTAACCATTAACTTATCCTCCTAACTTTGCGCCTAACAATGACCATAAATTCTAATGTAATTACCAAATTTTAATCCTAACGCCTGATCATTACCATAAGTTTCGTGCGAGTTTTTATGGAATAAATTCCTTATTTGCATCACTGACAAAATAGGTGTCTAGAAGTTAGCTGTTCTTTCCAAAAACCATTCCGCTTATCAAATAAATGAGTGCAAATATAACTTTAGTCACAAAATAATGATCAATCAGTGCAAACAAAGAATTCATTTCAGTATTTCCTCTCATCTAACTTCAATCATCTGATATTTACAATGTAATAATTTATCGTTTATACCAATGACAACATTACAATTACCTTAATAAACAAATTTTAAGTGTTTCTTTTCCTAAGTGCACCTCATTGCGATTGATTTGAAATGAATTGAAAAGAATGTATAATCACATGAAAAACTCATTAGTTATGATCCAAACAAAATGACATAGCAAACTTCGTTAACAGATAAGTATGTGGATGCGCACTGCTGAGGAGTCCCATACTAGGACGAAACGGCCGTCCAGTGCTTCCAGGTTTTCCATGGTGGTCTAGCTTCGATTGACTCGTGATTTCAATCCGTGAAATTTCTAAAATCTCCACAAAATCCCTTCAAATAAGTATGTGTATATGAAAAAATGAATAACAATTGAATAGAACTATAAAGGATGGCCTAGGACAGAATAGGTTAGACAACACTGGTCGGCAGTTTATGCTCCATTGGAGGTAACAGGTGTAAGTAAGTAAGTAAGTAAGGAAGGAAGGAAGGAAGGAACTAGGTAAGTAAAGAAGTAAGGAAGTAAGTAAGTAGGTAAGTAAGTAAGTAAGTTAGTAAGGAAGGAAGGAAGGAAGGAAGGAAGGAAGTAAATATGTATGTATGTATATATGTATATATTGGAATTAACGTAGATCCTTCTCTTACTTTTTCTGTAATAATTGTTGTTGAGTTTCTGTTGTTTCCTGGTTCCATAATGATTTTTGTCGATTGTATAAAAAGAAACACTGTCTATACCTCTGACGATATAACTTGAGTGACATATCATTAAGAAAGGAACAGTTCAATGAATAAATCTTTATTGTTTGTTTTATCTGCTATTCAAATGGGAAAAAAACATTAGTATCATTCAAAGATGCTCCTTTCTGAACTGATAATTGTTTTCCAAAATATCATTCAATCGTCATTTTAAAAATAAAGTTAATTTGTTGTTTACGTTTATTAAGTCTAGTGATTTCATTGAAATACCTAAAGAAATATGATTTTCAATAGTTAATATCATGAGTCAATCGAAGCTAGAACACTATGGAAAACTTGGAAGCACTGGGCTTCCGTTTCATCCTATTGTGGGACTTCTCAGCATTGCGCATCCGCGATCCTGCTTCGCGAGATTCGGACCCAGAACTATTGATCTCGCGCGCAAACGCCCAACCTGTAGGCCACTGGGCATGCATTCAGTGCTAGGTTTGAAGCTATTACAAATTCACTTAGTATACGAACGGAATAAAGACTTGTGACCGTAGATCAGTAAACTAGCTATTTGATGCGTCCCAGCTCCGCTAACTAGAGGAAGAAGTCCAAGCTTGGAACGAGAAATTATATTCCGTAAGCCAGAAGCATTAGTGAATAATAACAGACACCAATCAGATGTATATACACAGCATAAAACTATCTTTAGGAAGCGTAGAAAAAATAGCATACTAAAAATACACAACGGACTAATAGCGCTAAAGATTCTTCCAAATGGTAAATAGGACATGATGGTGAAAAGTGCGCTTTTGGCGTGAAAACAAGGAAATTTAAATTTTCAAAATAAAATTATAAAATTAAGGCATTTACTAAGTGTGTTCCGGGGATCTAAGATCCCCAACAGCGGGTCCATGTATGTACACTTCTAAAGAATCTCATACTTTGTTGTATAGTTTGTGAATTATATCCCCATTGCTTAGAACTAAAGATTGAACTAATTTGGTATTTTCTTGGTCATAAGATTTTTATAAAAACTTATGTGGTATTTTCAATTCAACTTGTTTTAACAAAATGAGCGAAAATAAATTAATGCTCAAATGAAGAGGGAAATAACATGTGATTAGTCCTTTTCAATTAGATTAATGGATATTATCAAATTTGGTATCGTTACTTATCAAGAATTGAGACTATCGACAGTGATGGCCTTTGATAAGAATCACATATGTTATGTTTCAAAGAACCAAGGTTAATGATGTACCTCAATGGATAATGAATATACGAGCCGCAAGTATTATTTTCTCTGTTTTCTCTTCTTATGAATATCTATAGAGTTTATGTAGGCCCATTGGTTTTAAGTAATAAACTAAGATAAAACAGTCTAATGAATGAAGGGTTTATTTATTCAAAATAGATTTATCACTGTATGTTCACTGTTTAACAAGTCCCAGAAATAATAATTCGTTCAAGGATTTAATCCAAAAATCATGAATAGGTTCATTGATTTATGTCAACATTATCCCATCTTAGACGTACTCAGCCTTTTGGTGTTGAATTAAACTAGTTTTCTCAGTTTGCAAAATGTACCCGTATATTTCATT